CCATGATTATCAGACGTCCGAGAAAGCAGAAAACCCAGTCAGTTAAATCAGATTCCTCCAGCACTTCGACAAGACCAAGTCTTTCTTCCAGTAGACGTGGTGGCAGGCAGTAGTGCTTGTCATTCCCTACGTTTTTTCACCTGTACATCCACACATACTTTCAACTGCACATAGACTCGTAAATGGTGAGAAAATACTGCATGCCAGAGTAGCTTACTATTGTCGGACATGTTCTGCATGGTTTCTGTACGAGCTATCGTCACTTCTGCATGAAGCTCTTCTTGATCGAGTCTCTCTGTGTGCTTTGCTGTGGGTAGTAGAAACGTAAAACCCTGTGTGCAGAGAAAAATTAATGCCTGCGTTTGTCTGACTTTTTTTCTTCAGCCACGTTTTGGGCGGGTAGTGAGTCAGAGCGCAAAGATGCTGGCTTTCCTGAGGATCAAACTCACATGATGCTCAGATTCCATCCACGTTTTCGAGACGGTAGCTCGGCTTCTGTTACTTGTACCGACCCCACTTGCAGTGGACACCTGGACAATATGCCAAGGTCCTCGTCGAGGCGATCTAATCCGCGACATGCCAGTATGTCTGGCGCCATTCCTTTCATGTGTACCTCTCCAGTGCCAACGCGCGGAATGGATCACCTTAACAAAAAAGAAGGGCATCGAGTTCCGGTTCGAAGCAGTCTTCCAATTGTTGGTAGGTTGAAGGGGATTCTAATAGTCCATTTAGTGTTATTCGCCTATCACACGGTGATCGCTTAAGTACAATACGGGGTTTGACACGTCCAGCATTTCCAATAATCTCATTCCAAGTATCAACAAATTACAATGAAGTCTTGATCCTAATGACGCCAGAGTGTTATCCCAGTATGTAGTCAGTTTGAAAAGTATAGGGATTAATGGATGCACAAACAGATCAGGCATGCCAAACTATATTGTGATAATGGAAATCCAGAGGCGATGGACTTGTTAAATACTCCGAGACATTCGGGAGTATTTTTCAGAGTATTTCTTGCTGTAGCATACAAAATAATTCTCCTCCCTTGTACTGGGTGTTTTCCAGAATTTGTAGGTTGCAAATTCATTCATTACAGTTTCTAGCACTCCATTCATTTTCTATCGATAATTTTCGTTTCTGGAATTTGATTCATCTAAATTCCCATTGAGTTTCTTTCTGAAATTAACGTCTAGATGATGGGACTTTGGGAACGCGTAAAATTTTGTTCGAATTGTACTGGGAATGGCGTGCAAACGGTACGATCTCATGAAAGGTGGGCATGAATGTAAATCCCCTGTATTTTTTACTTTGGTATTAGCCTCCCGGAGGAAAGCGAACTCTCTGGTCTCTTTTTGTCAAAGTTCGCTGTCTTCATCCGCTCATTCCCTGCCAATAGTTGAGCAATCTGTTCCCGGAGGAAGCCATCCCTCCCCTTGCACCGAGCCTGTTGAATTGGAGACTGAAGCCACTATCCCCCCAACCTCCCCCAGCAGTAGCCTTCCCGAACTCCCTGAAGACAGGAAGGGCTCCTCCCGTGCTTCCGGCATGAATGTTACCAATCTGAACCCAGCTGAAGAGTCAGTGTCTAGCTCAACAGAAGTCGATTTTCAACAGCAAGCTAGTCTCAGTCACCTATCGTCAATTTTAGAGCGCTATGAAGGCGACGATCCGAGACTGACATCGTTGTCGCAGAACGAAGAGGTGGAGCCGGATTTGACGACTGCTACAAGTACTACATTGACTCAGAGCCACTTGCAATTGCCACTCCCAAGAGTTACGTCTCCACAACAACCTGAAGTGGCCAGTTGTGAAACGAATCTTCCTCACTCAGGTTCTCAAGTTAGCATCGGTCATACAACAGAATCACATCCAGGGACCGCCTTGTCCCGGACTAGAACAACCGTTGCCTCCTTTAGGAGAGAAATCAACAATGAAAGATTTCGAGGAAAATCCTAGCTGTTCCAATCTGTTGAAGAAGCCTCCACCTCCATGCAGCCTGTAAGTTCCCGGCCAGTGACCAAAGAGATCCCAAAATCAAAGTAAATTTCCCATTTACTTTACTGTACACATCAGTTAGATGCATTGAAGAAAGTGAGGCGAACGTAGAACTTTGTCGTAAGAACCATTATGGGTTGTGAGTTTGCAAGCTTCTTTTCCCAACCTTCTCTTGGGTTTGATCCAAGCTATTATACAAAGATCGAAATAGGAGAAGATTGGTCCCCTCCACCACATGCATATCAGGCAAGCTAACATGCCCACGTTGACAGAGCAACTTGTACATCCCCCTCCCTTCTTCTCCATTCCTCCTCTCTCCTTGGCCAGAGGGTCAAGTCACTCGGGTTGTATTCATTTATCAGGTTTTAGCACCCCATGCTTCCATTGGCTCATCCGACTAACTTTTTGACCCCTTTGAGACCTTAGTGCTTTTACTCTCACTTTTTTCATGTTTCATGACTTTAATTTTCAATATGGAGCCATAAATTGATCAAAGAGATATTCTCTTTCCTAATTTTGTAAAATGCTTTTAGGGGAGCATGGTTCGGTTGTTGTGATACTGGAGTTGACAAGGAAGTTTTTTAATCCTTCAGATCAATCACTTGTAGAGCTTGTGGGCATTTATTTGTGGCGTGTGGAAGGTGACGGATAGGAGTATGCTACTATTTGTTTTGTTACTTGATGAGTCCTCTGGGTCGAGCGATTTGATTCTAACACAAGTGACGTAAAGATGTATTCATGCTGCCTCTTCTTTAAAACTTGCTGCCCTTTTGCGGAATCGTGGCAACGACGCTTCCAGACCTAAAAGCCTTATGGTACTTCTATGAGTAAATCGGTTGCTAACGTGGCACCCAAGATTCTTTTCAAAGTTGTGATAAGCCAAAGCCGTATGGTAAATCATACTACCAACGCGGAGAGGAGCTAATTGGCTGTCATCATGGCCCGAACTCCAGATTGCAGAGTGAAAGCACAACTTGCAAAGACTAGACATCCAGCCTGGTTAAGCACACAGTTAAACTATCTACTTACTGCATAATTCCCTCCTTTTTTAAGCGTTATTCCCGACGCTCCCCTTGGTCAATCTCTGGCGCCGCTCATCACGATGCAGTCGGTGCTCTAGAAACCACCATTGAAATAGCAGTGCCAATCACTCAATTTTCTTGCATGCAAGAAGGCATGACATCCTAACGTCACTGATATATCTCAACAGTTCCATTGTATCTGTAGTTGCGTCTTACTTGTGAACTGTATTGGGAAGGGAAATGCACTGGCTCCACATCGATCAAGACCAGACCAGGCTCTACAGGAAGGGCATCTCATATGCCAATCACTATTCACAAAAACACTGGCCTAAAGCACACCTGTTGAGCATAAATTAGAATTTAATAAGGAGCCACGGGTCTAATCTTTCGCTCTCAATCCTCTTTGTCACTTTGTTCCTATTTCACTGTTACCCAATCACCTGGATTTTATTCAGCCAGTAGGGCCACAAAGTGGTTAACATCTCCGTACAGACACCATAGACAGTTACATAATAGAAATTCCCAAACTTTCAAGTCTGTTGTTGCTTCGCTTGTTAATAGCTCTGTTGAAGAAAGTAGAAACGGAGTCCATGGCAAAGGCAGACATCATTTTTAAACCTACTAGTAGGCTTAGCAGATTCATCCGTCTGCGACAGAGGGCCTTCTAGAATTCTGGAGCTTTTAAATCTGGAAAGTCATGCTTTGACCAAGTTTGTTGGCCTCTGTCACAAGCGTAGCCCCCGAGTCTACCTGAAATCGTAATAGGCCAATGTACCGTAGAACGTGCGTTACCACCGACGGAAAGAGCTAGGAGACCACAAAGTAGGATTATAACCTTCGGGCAATAAATTTTTAGTCTAGTAGAATGTACGGTTGAAAATATCAGTTCAACACAGGTGATATATAATGATGACAAGCAGATATTATTGTATACTTAATCCGCGTGCCAGGTGAACAGTTCCTGTATTTAAACGAAAGCTATGAAGACATTTGCAAATCGCTTTATTGGTGCTCACTTGATCATAATTTAAGAAAAGAGCCTTTATTTAATTAAGCATACAATTAGTCTGATTAAAGCCATACCGTAAATTCAGAAAAAGTAACTGGGTCTCCTCATGAAAATATCGTTTATGATATCAAAACAAAACAAAAGCAGTCATTTGCTGGCAACTTGTAAATCTTTAGTGAAATCAAATGTTTTGGTTATTTCTGTCATAAAAGACAGAAGAAAGCAGCAAATTTATTAACGGATTTCATTAGAGAACAAAAACTTCCCTTTAGTCTTTTTCACATTTAATTAAAAGCTATGTGTCAAGTAAAAAAGTATTACTGGAAAGCTTGCTTATTTTGTCACAAGCTCTCATAAGTCGGCCTGTGCCTTGTATAAATGTGCCCCTCTAAAGCGATAGTTTTAAATTTATGAGGCGTCCTGATACCTAGATTCACGGGGTGGGTCGGCATGTGCCTTTCTCCCTTGTATGATACTTTCCTAGCATTTCCAAATGTCACTAGTCAATCACCATGCCTTTCGCTTCATTCCGTCCTTAGTATATATTAAACGACGTCAGCGTTCTTCCATATTACTTTACCTTCTGTGCTTTGTAGCTTGTTTATGTGTTTTCCTTATTCTTATTTACTAATCCATCACTAATCTTAGCAAGTCATTTATTTGGAATCGGTTAGCTCTCTTAGACCTTTTTCCAATCTAAGCCACCCTTAAATCGTCCCAGGTCTTTGATTATTCGCCGTAAAACAGCTGTGTTCGATATCCATAATCCAGTAATTACGGCAAAACCTACCCTTTTTACAAGCTATTATCTTTCTTTAAACTACTTTGTCAAGGCGAGGTAAGCTGTCACATGCTGTCACCTGGTGGTCTCCAGTTAGCATCAGACTGTTAGCGTGTTCCAATTGAAAAGTACATGATTGTGTTCTCAACCATTCACTTTAGCTGAACCTGCACTATTCGTAATGGAGTGGTTGATGGGTAAGGCTCGAGGTGTCAGTCGTGGTCTAATTAGTGGTTCCATGTCGTCCCCGAACTCCGCTACTGCCATCATCTCAGCTACCACTACATCGACTCCCTCAGACGTACATTCTTCTCCCTCGCCTCCTCCACCTTCACCACCGCCTTACCTCAAACCCTCCTTCCTGCGTCAGCAACTCTCTCTCGCCGCCGCCGGTAACACTCCTGTCGATTTTCCTTTCCTTGTGGAACCCGAGCATCCTCTGGAAGAGGATGAATGGATCGCCGTCCACACAATTGGACTGGTCGAGAACCTCTGCAGCATTTTCGATCCCCTCTACGAGGTTTGTTTGTGTCGTGGAGGTGGTAGCAGTAGCCCCTCAAAAGCCACCGACGATGTAGAATTCACCGACTCCTTTGTGCAGACGAAGAAACCCGTACGTCAGGTGATCAGTCTCATACTCTCTGAGTGCAATGATGCGATACAATCGGCGCGAATATTCCCTGTTAGACAGGGCCAGGCCTTTTCGCCTTCCGATTTGCGCGAAGAGGCGGCCCGCATTTGCCGCAAACTGTTGCTCTGCCTCGTACACATCTATACCGCCCATGTGAACCATCTGGAGCAGCTGGATCTAGTGGCCCATATGAACACTATCGCGAAACACTTCTTCGCCTTCACTTCACGGTTTAATTTGATTGAGGAGGAGGACAACAGAGCATTGGCAGCTCTTCAGGGCTTTCATCGACGCCTGTTGGAAACACCGGCGCCTAATGTGATTGTTTCGACGAACCCGATGACACCGACGTCAGTGGCAACGGTAACTACCGATGCTAGTGTGGCTTCATCGTATTCGATGCCCTCTGCTACCGCTTCCGTTACGCCTGCCCCATCCATTTTGCCGGTTGTTATAAGCGCTTCAGTGCAGGAACAGACCGCCAGTTAGGCGATGACTGCGCTGCCACTGACTCTCTTCTAGTCACTTTGTTTGCGCATTTTGGACCTTTTATATTTTAAACGTGCATTCTACTCCCTTTCTTGTTGTAGCTGAACTAGAAATATGACATTTGTATGCTTTCAAAGTCGAGTCACACTAGACTCTGGCAGACAGCTTTTTGAAGTAAAAGTTAGGGGTCAGTGAATAAGAAAAAAAAACTGGGACGATAAAGATGTCATTATTTAGTTGCCCTCGAAGTTTTACAAAACATTCTGCCATTAAATGTTAGGAAAACGTTGAGTCTAAAGATGCCACTTACTTATGGAGTTTAAGTAGCGCTAGGATGCAAACATGTTAAAACTTTTAAAAAGGCATAGGTGGGTGAGGTGGAGCCAAGAGGCACCAATAAGGGTGTGTGGGTGCTAAAGTATTGTCCTCTGTGCCTTTGCCTGTTTACCTCCTCCGTTCGATGGTCGTGTGGTCACTCAAACCGGCACCGAGGATGCATTGGTGAAAAGGTATTGAAATAAACTGTGACGTTCAAGATGTCGCAACAGGTGGTCATATCGACCCAAATGCCGGGAATAGCACAATCCCTTACGATTTCAACAAATAAACAATAGCAAACGCCTGTTAGAATACAATGATAGAATACACATTCCAAAAGTCCCATGTTTTACAGTGAAAATCTTGGAATTCGATACTCTACGCATATTTAAGTCATAAAGTCTGTTTTTTACTCTGTAAGTCCATTACCAAGGTCAGAATTTGTTAAAACACAAGTGTAGTCTTTTGTTGTGCCCCTTATCGAAGAAACTAGTCGCCAAATACGTTATGAAAAAATTTTGATAAATGTATTTTGAAGTACTTTAACTTAAATAAAATATTCGTTATTGGCAAAGTTTTATGCACAAATATGGATCCTGGTCTTGCATACACCAGTTTTGGTTGCTATTTTTCCTCTTAATGTCTCTGTTTATGCGACAGTCACGTATTGCAGAATCTGACGGAAGGTCGTGAATGAATAAATCTACTTTGTTGAACTTGGCTTCATTTGCAAAGCTAACACATCTAATTGAATGCGTCGTTGGCTTCTGTTGTCAGGTGATGACTGCAGAGCCCCAAGTCTTTCCTGAAGACAGAATGTGCATCGTCGACTGGGGGTTCGCTGATATGGCCCGGAGACATTCCGCTCAGCGAAAGCCCAAAAGCAGAGCCTTAAGAGCTCCTGAATCCGTCACACAGCCTTAAATCAACAGTCATATTTTACATATCTACCCCCCTTCCTTCAGTCTGAGCGTCGTCCCCGGCGCTTTGCTTGGTCAACTTCCCTCGTTGGCTCTGTGAGGAAAATCACCTACGAACCAACCGCTTCAGTCATCCAATTTGCGGGCAAATGGGAGGATATGCGACTACAGCACCACTAATCCATCGTGGCAATTCCACTAAATCTAGAGTTTCGTCCTTTTGAGAGTTAGCTACCCCTATCGTATGACTATCGCTAGTCGTAAAAACACTGGCCTGAAAGCCGAGCCATTTAATCAAAGACGGGTTTTAAAACGACTTCGTGGGGCTGGGATTCGCATCTGTCCCCCTTTCCCATTTTGTTATAGCTTTATTGCTGCGCGGTCATATCTCTGAGTTCTATCCAGCTGGCAGGGAGGTGGAGGAGGTATCTCGTGCTCACTTAGTAGACAACTTCATACAAGTACCGTTAGACGGTAAGGTAACAAATTTTTCAAAATGGCTCACCAGCTAGTTAATAGCATTCCTGCTAAATACGGGACTGGGGTGGTTGTCAAAGGTGAACATTATTTTCGGTCCTTCTGTTGGAGGTCGTCACAGATTCTCCCATCCATGCCATATACCCTCCTTCCGTCACGTTGATGTTTAGTCTTCCACAGTAGTAAGCAGCGTAGTGGTCCCTTAGAATCTGATTCGCTTTCCGTTGCCACCAATATAGCGCCCCAAGACTGCCCTGAAGACTAAAGAAGGCATTATGCTTTGGCAGAGTATGTATCACCAGCGTACGGAGGGGCTGGGGCTGGGGTCTACTGGCTTGACCCGGAGGCCATGCCGCCCAGCAGAGGTACCAAGGTGGAAGCTTAGGTGCCCGTAAAACCAATGCAATCAAAGTATCACACTACATTCTCTCATTGTGATTGCCTTAAAGAAATAGCAGACGTGCTTTTGGGATGGATCGCTGAAGTGACTATGCCAAAATGGCGCTACTAAGTTTTTTTTTTTAAGGCAATCTTCCTTGGTCTAGCGTGGGTTCCGATAGGAGCGAAATACATAAATGAATGTTTCTGATACTGCCCACCTGAAATTATTTCAACTCCATTGTTTTTAATGTAATCTAAGTCAGGTATGTCGGTTGGTTAAAATTAGAAGTGAACTTTCCCTATCTGAAAATACCTATGCAGTAGACAAATGAGTTTACATTCTCCTAGGGAGCTTAGGAAACTGGAGTTGCTTACCCTGCCAATTACCTCTTTCGCCTATTCCGACTTCCTGTATGATACAGAACATTGGTGATAGGCTACTAGTTGTCAGTCCTCTTTGATTTACAGGCATTCTCGATCAAAAGACGTGGAATAGTAGTAATTTTCCCTTAAATCCCTTGACATAGGTATTTTTTAAAGTGGTAATACGACTCAGCTGTAGCCACAGCAATTACCCAGTGAAAACAAGTCTTTTAACAATAAATTTTTTATGTGGTTTGAATAATTTTAAACTAAAGCGCCACACATTTCTTTCAAACACAGCGACTTTTGCATAAAATATTGGAACCCAGAGGGGATCTTCAAAATTTCCGGAAACACCAGTCTCACTAGCAGGGACGCCTGTATTACCAGAAAAATTTTTTGTTCAAGTATCTACAATTTTTCAATTTCGTGAATATTTTCGTAAACAACTTAGAAACCACCTCCCCCCAGTCCCTCCTAATTGGCTGAAATTGCGTCGACTGCACTTTAGGCGATCATTCTTAGCCCGAGGTCGATCAGCTGACCGGATGATCCAGACTTGGAACGTAGCTCGAATGTGGGGGTCAGGGGGTCTCTACTGGTCAAGTATTTACACGCAAGTCACATCTCTTGCTGACTCACCCATAGGATCCAGGCGACAAGGGCACATGAGGTCAGGTCATGAAACTAACCCGCCATTTCGGCATTTCATTTGCCCTCACCCATGGGCATATCAAAAGTATCTTATAACAGTGCTTTTTACTATCCATATCAATGGTTTAGTTGTAAACAGTGCCTTAATTACAAATCCGAAATTTTGGCATGAAAGGTGAGGTTGGGGCTCTATGCTATTGTAATGGGGGGGGGGGGGGGGAGACAATGAATACGTCCACTCCATTTTAATAACTTTGGTATTAGACCGTCAAAAAAAATAAGGATTCAGTTCGCAACCACAATGCATGAAGATGCCAAATACTTCTCTTACGTCAAAGTTACGCCCAGAGGCTACCACCTCCACCACGTTAGAAGTCAGTTTAATAGCGATTTAATTTGCATAAATTCGTGACCGTCCACTACGTACCATTAAAAGGGCATCTTTACTAGAATAAGTGTTCAGCTTTTGATTTTTAGTTCCTTTTCATCTAAAGCATCGCAGTAGGATTTGAAATGGTTATGAAAAGAATTATTAGCCTTGCAAATTTTTAATTCTCAGAGATTGTTGTTAAAGATGGCTGTCACATATATGTGACGCCCCGTTTTTTTAATCGAACTTCGCATGTTATTTGTCAAGTTATAGTCAAAAGCTGAAATAAATCGCGTCTCAAACAGATAAATTGGGATGAAAGCAATGTAGGCTGTTTCTGGTTTGAGGATAATCCAATTTTTTTATCTGGCAGACAGTAGTTGAGTCGGTCAAATAACTATGATAGTTGATATCATGTTATAACGATGGAGCACTTGGATTGTGACTGTTAATTTGTAATACCTAAATTATTTGTTTAACTCTTCCTCCCGGTTTTGAGGACACTTAAAGCACCACGATTGTTCTTCTACTGAGGAGCACGGCGTCCAGGACACGCCACTAGCCCAAGAATTGCGCCTCTTTTTGTTCTCAGGAGTGACTCGGGGCACTGCAGATCTTCCTCTGAGAATTTGCTATCAAACATTGAACGCAAAAACATTCCAGTAGATCTTTTAGCTACCAAAACTTCGACAACGGTGATTAAACTCGAAAGGAAGTCAGCAGCCCAGATAGCAGAAGCTTTAGGCTCGCTTTTTAGTTTCTGTTTATTACTACTATTTAATCAAGTCACCTTTTTGCAATCTGGCCGCGAACGCTAGATATTTCCACGAATTTCATAATCTGAATTTAGACAGCAAACCTCTGCGATTCCCTGCTTGTCACTACTTTACGTATTTAGTTCGACAACCAATTTCATCAATGTCACTAATTATTGCCGTGGCTAAGTAAATGATTATTTTATGAAGCAGAAGCGCTAGAAATTTGTCCCTCACCGCTAAATCCACTATTGAGATTGCTTAATATTATATTTAAAATCATTTTGATGCGACTCATGAAAGATTGGTCTATTTTCAACTGGATTTATTTTGTAGCGCCCGAGGTCTTGCAGAAGGGTTGAGAGGCTATTGGCATAACTCGGAGACTACGCCGCCTAGCAGAAGTACAATGCTGGGGCATTAAGTATCTGCGTCAATAAAACGAGGAGTTAAACAAACAAAGTAACGAAAATCATCCCTTGTTCACTAGCCATGGCCCATGCATCGCCAACAAAGTTGGCCGTTAGTGCCTAAATTCATTGTGGAGATCAAAAACTAAGTTCAATGAATTACAGAGACTTGGACAAAGCAGACATTACTTCATCCCCAGGGAAGGAGAAATCTTGAACAACCGGTATCGTCTGGTATCACTAGAAGTTGGGTTTGCATCAAGTAGATCATTCAATAGCCAAAATGGTGATAAACGGAACACAAATGAAGTGTAAATGTTCGGAAGCATTCTACTGCCAAGTATTGTCCAGGCTGTGCCACTACTTCACAAATGAACCACCCAACGACAGACATTTAACAACGAATTCTACATGCGATTAGGAACATTCTCACCGTGATGCAAATTCATAAAACCATCTGTACTTCTTTCTCGTGGGTCTTTTCAAAGTCGCCCACGACTATTGCGGAATTTAACGCAGAGAGCTGTGGCAACTCAGAACTGCAAAGGCAATGCTTGGAGCAGGAAGAATCACGTGCTTCTCTTCTTATTATGATCATGTAGCTTAATTTTTTCCATGCGGCTACAGCAATTTCTTCCAGACCATTAATTAGATAACTTCTTTAGACATACACCGGATCACAACTGCATGATAGAACAGATGAATGTTCTAGCTGTTGTTAGCCGTTTCCAGAGAATAGGAAATTGGTTACATTGCAAGGTGAATCAAGGAGAGTTAGAATCAACAACGGTTGTGCAGAAGGCATATGCAGCCACCTGTAATGCCTTCGAGTAAGGCCAGTTGTTGCATTGGTTCCGTAATGGTTAGTGCCAATCATAACATTTGTGATCGTCGTCAATCGCCATAGTGCTTGCGAATATTCACTCCTTGGAAAGAGATTTGTTCAAGCTGGTTATATCTGTTTGAAAATTTTACTAGATTCCCACTACAAATTAGGCCAACAAAAGCGCTCTCTAAAAAATGAGAATCTGAGCAAGTTACTAGTTCTAGCTAATTCGGTTCTGAAACCTCAAAGTTAGAACAGCTCGACTTGATTTTGCTGAGTTTAACCATAGGAGACGGCAGTTTGAGTGGACTTTCCTAACCGACCACTGCCTTTTTAAAAGATAATTTTGCAACAGTTTCACCTACCTTGACGCAAGAACGACATATCTGCAGATGGGACATTTTTGACGAGGCCTTGATTACCGTCGAGAGATTAAACTCGCTCCGCCTTCCCTGCGTTTCAATAAGTTTCATCAGAACCCCCACATCGTTAAAGACCTGAAATAGTTTCCTCTTCATTATAATGCCCTCCATCACACTGCTATTGCTGATCAACACACCGATTTTCGCTTCAATAGTTGCTTGTTACAAGGACAAAATGAAGACTCCTGTGAAGGAGAGCAGCTCGCAAACGGTTTTTAAATGAAAAACATTTAAAGTGAGAAATCCCGTGCGGCGTAAAACAATTTCATGGCGAAAGCTTTTCACTGCAAATGACACAGCCAGGTTTCGCTTCCCAGTAAACAAGCAACAATCAGCAACGCGTGAAAGGAGACGAGAATTTACCGGAAGGAAAAATTAGCAAATTAAACAGGAATGTCAAGTATTAATAATTCTAATGATGAAAGCGGGGCTCGACACAAATCAAAGATTCTTCTTATCTTCCGGTTCCATGGGAGGTGCGGACGCCTGACTGTAGGGTGGAGCGTAGAAGGTATTGGGATCAGATGGATAGTAATACCCGGTGTTAACTAAAAAGGAGCGAAATTGAATGATGGCCACTTTTGAGAGGGTAGCGCCATGGAAGGATACATGCATCATCAGCACACAAGTTTCATTTAATCGGGGTTCAAGACTAAGCCCATTTAAAGAGCAAGACCGTATATGTGCTTTTTGGTAAACGGTAATAGGTAAACTGGCTCCCGTAGCGAAGTGTGGTAGGAAATGGAATCCTCCTTTTTCTGGATTGAAAAGATACTGACTTAGATTATCAAAACAGAATTCCGCAAGATCATAAAAAGGGGGCATTAATATCACACGAAAAGCGGAGATATTACAGCTCATTTCCTTCATTTGGTCAGTGTAATAGATGGAAGAAAAATAAAATAATCCGCAAATAAAACCATAATAATCTGACCAAAAGCCCAATAGTCTGGCGGAAAGACACATTGGAAGTTAAATAGTCAACAACTCGGTTTCATCCAATATTCAAATAGCCCTAACTTGTAGATTGGTACTTCAGCTATGCTCACCGAAAAAAAGTTAAATTTACCCGATTCGAAGAGATTAGCGTACGCAAATGGCATAAATACGTTATTTGTAAAAGTATGCTATCAATAAAACCGCCTCCTACTCATCAACGTGTTAGATGGATGCAATTTGAAATCTAACATGGCTAGTTTAAGTGCATTTATCGACAAAAAACCGGCCAATTAATGAAACTATTACCATCATTTACAGTCTGCTATTATTTTACAAATAGCTATGTGACGAGTGCATTCGAGATGCTCGTGAAATAATCATGACAACTAGTGTGAAGGGTCATACACAGTAACAACAGCAACCACTACAATATCTAGCTCGACACATACCACAGAAGTCAATTACAGTCACCTGCAAATAGTCAAGAGGTAATGCATTATCAAATGCACGCACAAGACAGCAATGCAAACCAACATTTTTGTTGTTTCTAAGCAAAAGTACTTGCCACACCAAATACTACAGGGTAATGGCTACCAAATATATCAGAACTTGTAGGATTTTGAAATCACAACCAAAAACACAATATCTAGGTGGCAACTGATCGAAGACGTTGAAAAAAAGCACCGGTACGATATTTGCTAAAATAGATCGCGCTGAAGTCACTGATAGAAAATTACATTAAATAGTTCGGAACGATAAAGAAGCGTAGTATGACATACGACTCCAGCTCGTCAATTTAAGGTTTGCTCATTGGGTGAGGAATATTCTGAGAGCCTATAAAGATCTAGTAAAGTGGCAAGATCATAAGCTAGTACGTGAGCGCCAAAACGACCCTACACACCAACTCTTTGTCCCCTATTCCACACTCTGAAGCCGATGTTTTCATCTTCACCAAGTTTGGAGACGCACTAGGTCCACCTCCTGAAGTAATCAAACATACCAGGTGGCGGGCCGCCGACTGGGTAAGGCGGCATCGGACTCGCCGCAGTCGCTGTGTATGGTGGCGGTGGACCCGGATTCGGTGTGTAAGGCGGAGGAACAGCGCCGGGATAGGGCGGTGGAGAGTTCGTCTGATACAGAAACTCAACTAGGAGGAAAAGAGAAGGATATGGGTTTTAGAGATTCCCACGCAGAAGTATGTATAAAGCCCAATCTAACCTGGTGGCGGAGAGAAAGAAGGATGCACCTGCATAAATGAGTTGTAGTAGGGGTCGTTCACGAAAGGCGTGTAGGCCGGAGGAGGACAGGCGTAAATTTCGCAGAGTGGTGGGGCAACGGGAGTCTCGTATGAGTTCTGTAGTTTGGAAGCTCGAGTACCGAGCTCAAGAAGGCTCTTTCCAAATTCAATTGCTCCTCCATGGTTGAACGCTAACTTAAAGGGCATCTCACCCTGTAAACATAGGAAATCAGAAAACCAATACCTGTGGCAACGGAATTCATCGTCCAGTTAGGTGTCAGCTTACCGCCCACTGGCCTGATTCAGACAACACAAAACCTTCAATGTGGTTGGGTCCAAACGTTGGCTGCTTGATTGCTACACGTCTCATATAGATGAAGGCCATGCTCAGTGAATTAAGTGTCGGACTTTTATCTTTGGAGAGGAATATCACCTAAATTGTAAGTGAACAAGGATTCAGTTACTCGATGTGATGTAAGATACGCGGTTCCTGAGTACCTCCCATTAGGCTGCTGGCCCGAACCGGAAAGTGTAAGCTTACATCCATCATATGTAATAAGAAGTCTGAGAAAAGGATGGGAGAGAGAGACGCCTCACCTTTCTCCGTAAAAGAGAACTACTCCTAATCCATCTTGTGTGTGAGCTGTATTAATTGACATGGCAGCCAACACGGAATACGGACCAAAACATAAAACACTAAAACGAAAACGGTTACGTGTCGTCAGAACAGAAAAACAAACAATATGTTGAATAAAACCTCAAATGCACACCACAAACATTGAATAAATTTAAAATGTTTTTTAAATACAAAAATGATAACTGCAAAATAATGTGCAAAACGTTGAAAAATATTTGTTCACATCAAGATGCGAACAGATTAACTTTACATGTTCAAAAAAACGCTTTTACTTGAAGCAAAAAAGTTTGTAACCACGTTCATTAGCCAATGTGGTCACAAGATCTAGCTTGCAAAAATCAGCTGTGGATCAGCTTCAAATCTGATTAGTTGTCCATGATTCAGGAATCAAAATCTCCTTCCTTAATTACTAGCCACTGCGTATTGTTCTACTTCCCTGCAATTTTTCAGGGCAGCAGCTGTGATGTTTCGAGATTTCCTTAAAGACGAGAGAAGACAATTCTCGGGCCGAATACACTTATTCGACATGCAGAAGGTATTTGGGCAACTGGCATAGCCTGAAGGCCAGCCCACCCGGCGTGATACAACGGCCAAGTCAAAAGCAGCCCTTTACCAAAACCAAGCTTTAAGCGGCCATCGTATCACATAGCCCCTCTCCTCTTTTGAGAGGCGTCTTCGGCGCTCCCCTCGGTCAACCTCCCACGTCAACAATCACAACGTTGTCGGTGTTGTGAGGAAACACTCACGATTGCACCGTGCCACTCACCAAACTTTTATGCAGCTAGGGAGGTACACGACTGCAACGTCACTGATCCCTCTTGGCAATTTGACTGGATCAGGAATTTCGTCCGGTTTGGGAGCTGGGTTCAGGAACGGGGAATTGTACTGGCCATCTTGAGTGTCCATGGATAGACAAAAGGACACTGGCCCAAAAGTAGATTTGGTAGAGATGGATGGGATTTTGCACGGGTTTGTAAGGGAAAAGTTTTGCGTTTGTTCCTCATTATCAAGTTATTCTCACTTCGGAACTACTAGTCACATCTATCTGGACTCTACCCATCTAGTCGAGAAATGGAAGAGGTATCGCGAGTTCTGTTTATCGACAACTTTATGCAGGAACGGTGTAGAAAGTCTGCAACGAAACTATTCAAGATGCTTCACGGCCAGTGCCACTTCAGTTGTTAATAACTTTCCTGCAGAACAAAGGGCCGAATTAGTTGCCGAGAGTTGACGTCAATTTTGTTCTTCTGTTTAGGGTCATCGCCGATTCCCCAATCCGTAATATAGGTACTTCTTCCGCCCCACAAAGTTTGTCACACAGTAGTGGGAATCTTGATAGATATTTTTCGGCATTAAGTTCGCTTTCCGTTACCATCAATGCAGCGTTCCAAGACTTCTCAGAAGACGAAAGGAGACGGAATACTCAGGTAGGATGCATATGTTTGACATGCAGAAGGTATTAGGGCTACTGGCGTGGGCTGAAAGTCAGCCCACCCGGCTTGGTACAGTGGGCAAGTCAAAAATGGTCAGGAGTTAAATAACCGCCGTACTACAGCCGTATTTGTAACCTTAATAACAAGGCATGACAAAATTTACTAATTGTATGTATTAATACAACACATATTACAACTCTAATTTAAACTACATGTATGTTAATTTTAGTACAGATCTTTGGCTAATAGTGAAATCGAGCAAAAATCGAGAGCAACATCATTCCTACATGTCAATAAGTCACGCAACACAACTACGAAAGCAGTTGGATGCCTGTTTGTGTGTTTAAAAGAAGTGCTACAGGGCTGAAATTCTACCACTGTTACACTAAAAAAAGCATAATTCATTGGAAGTTACAATATTAAGATTAAAAACATCCACTTATGCTGAACATGGGTTTAAAACGTGTGATCAATAAGTGGAATAAACAGTTCCACCGTGGTGCTACTATCTACGCGAAATCCGAACTTTGACTGTTAGCTGAAAAAATGGAAGGAGATTGATTGTAGCCACTTTAAATTCTTGTGGACTCAAACACATTTTCATAGGTCTAATACACTTCAAAGCCAAGGAATTTTTCCTTTTAAATATGCTTAGTGAGGAGCAGAATGCCATACAAAGGCCCAGTGCGTAGCATCTGAATTATTTTTAAATAATAGAAAGAGTAAGAGCAGCTAGCTGTCTATTCATTCAAGTCAGATAAATAAAGAGTTAATTAATACGCCAGAATCAATTCAGTGGATTTTATCCCGTTTGTCTGTCTGTATCGCATCGAATTATCTAAAAATGGTTGTTTGGGTGACCTGCACAGTGCATTTTGTAATACGCGCATTATTTGTGTTTTTTTGAAGAGCTCACCAGCCCTTGTGATTGTTTAAATTACTGGAGGTTATGTCCATCTGGCCTCTTCAAAACAGCGTCGTAGGTTTGTCCTTACACAAGGTGGACTGTACCTGAATATTGTCAAAGTTTAGTGCAATGGAACTCTTGGGTCCTTCTAATCGCTACGATTTTATTGTTGCTAAGAGATGGAAGCTCATACGGAAAATTGGGGCTGGATCTTTCGGCGACATATATCTTGGTCTAAACATCGCTAATGGTGAAGAGGTTGCTGTTAAACTGGAACCCATGAATGCCAGACATCCACAACTGGTCTATGAAAGCAGGATCTATCGCCTTCTTCAGGTACTGTATAACTGCAACTTCTCATATTTCACAGAACACTTTTGCCGTTCCTCGAATACACTGGTTCGGCTCTGATGGAATGAAGAACGATTACAGAGCCTTGGTGATGGATCTCCTGGGTCCAAGTCTAGAAGACCTCTTTAACTACGTTGGTCGAAGGTTCACCATGAAAACAGTTCTCATGCTGGCTGAGCAAATGCTCTGGCGTGTTGAATATGTTCACTCTAGAAATCTTATCCATCGTGATATTAAACCGGATAATTTCCTGATGGGAATTGGCCAAAGATGCAACAGACTATTTCTAGTTGACTTTGGCCTCGCCAAAAAATACAGGTTTGCTTTTCTATTGCCTAAACTGGTGTCATCATTTAGAGACAGTCGCACAAAGGTGCATATACCATTCCGGGATGACAAGAATCTTACCGGTACTGCCAGATACGCGAGCATTAACGCTCATGCTGGCCATGAACAGTCAAGACGCGATGATATTGAGTCTCTGGGATATGTATTTATGTATTTTCTTAGAGGTCAACTTCCATGGCAGGGCTTACGGGTGAGTGATTTTACATATTTTTACCTATATGCGTTTATTCTCAAACATAGTTTAAAAACTACAGACCATGTAGCCAAGTGTTTATACATTAGTCTGTTTATTTTGTGGGTTAGTGGTTAGCGTTTGCGTCAATCTTCGCATTTACTGCCATTATGACATCGGGGTCACGCAAACTACTTAGCAGTGATAGATGAGATGCCTTTCTTTTTTATTGACGAACGTTTATCTTATCTGATCATTCATTTGATTCGTCTTTGTAAATGAAAACTAACCCTACCTTTGATACACGATTGGCTTCTAAGCCCTTTTGGTTCTCCTATTTCTTCGCCTCGCTTAATTGGGTTGTTTTTGTTTATCCCTTATTCACTATTTGTGATTGAAGTTCCAGACTTATGATTTTGTTAGAATAACCTTCGGTACCCTGATAGTACGCTTACATTGCTCTTTATTTGGCAAGCACAAAGTGGCTAGCAGCTGTGTGACAGCTATTAAACTCCACTGCGGCAGTTAAAAAGTGCTTTTGAGAAATGATAAGAGCGCTCGCTCTGTTTTATTGTCAAATGTTTTATCAAATTAAGACTGATCCCAATGTTTTTAAGTTACTCTCTTCGGACGATATATCCCTCTTAGAGGCTGCATTTATCCTAGTACTATCTTGATTTGAGAAGGTTTTGCTAATTTTGTTCATCGCTGTTGTTCTCTTGTTTGGTCCACACCAGTTCTTTTGCCTTTCAATGAAGAGAGCTGTATGCCAGCGGTCTCCTAGACAAGGGCAGGGTGTATCTACAAATTGATTAATTTAACCTAATGGTTTTAATGCACAGTCTGGCCAAACAGTGACTTGTTACTTTTTGATTACGTTCACTGCAGTTAGGGGCTCGGCTTTGGGGGGGTTAATACTTGGCCACCGTCTAACTCACTTTGTCGCGCTATTGGCGGTTGTGTCTACACGTCCATCCCACGCCATGGCGCTTACAAGTTCTAGGTTTTTTAGAATGCAATCCCAATGCCTTTGCTTGATTATCTCTGATCGCTTAACACTTTAATCGACTACTCTCGAACGCTTTTTGCCTGATTTTATTGAGTAAATGTCAACGGCGGTGTTACCGCTAAAAACTCACTGTTTTCTGTAGGGAATGTTTAGGATTTATCGTCAATTATTGGGTTGTTGCCGTTTTGAGTCCGTGCTGTAGTGCTAGAGTCAATGCATTGAAATGTTGTGATAAAGGCCGCGTCAAGGAGTTTTGGCAGTCATGTTAATGGCCACTTGTATGACATCAGAAAATCGGTAAACTCTTGTCTGTTAGTCGTACAGCATATTTTAGGAGTTGAGGATCGGTCTGGTCCTTGTATTAGCCAAATGTCTCGAATGTAGATATTTGTTTAATGTGGAAAAATGTTCTTAAAAGGGGATAATTACATTTGTTGTTGTGTTTTTAGTCCGGATTAGCTGCGCAAAAAAACCCATGCGATGTGGGGAAGTAATCAACACATGCACACATTTCCATCCACTGGGAAGAACCCCCATTGTTTTTTTATTCACACATCTGAGTTTTTTTGCTACCGAAATAACGGCTTAATGATTATGGAAAGGGGATATTTTTGGTTGATTCAGATGCCTTGGGGGAGGGCCTTTGAATTCCGATGCCAACCCACGCACGCTCATCACACTGCCATTCGCCACACTCAGCTGCCGAGTTAGTCACGCCGCATTGCGCATCACTGTTGCAACCGTCCCGAACATATCGTGTTGTTTAAACACGCGTCAGCTGGCTGTGCTCGGAACTCGTGTTTCTGCGATGACAGACTGACGTGGCTGCCATGATGCCGTTAGATTTTAAGTGTGGGGTTTAAGGTCAAAGCAGTTTTATTGTTGCGTGTTTCATCATTGTAGGCAGCTAAAATTTGACTTGTATCGATTGGCAGCTCGGGTTGATGAGTGAAAAATTGTGGAATCGGGGGGGGGGGGTGGTTTTGCAACATTTCAGTAGCCAATGCTTTTCCCACTTTCACAGCTATTATATTTCGTTGCGATTATTGTGTAGTATGCAGATGTGAATTTTTTGGTAGATCGAGTATTGTTCTGGTTAGGAGAATTGGTCTGCCCCAAGGTTTTTTAGTTCCTTAATAAAGAGCCCTATCGCTCACTCCGTAGGATTCGATCCGAGTGCTGTCTATCCTCGTGTTCACCAGCCAGAAGATGGTAGTTCAATGGTATGCTAGTTGTAGGGTCGGATTTGGTTTCACATTTTAGCGTGTTAATACGTTTCATTTTACCACACATGTAAGTTTAGCGATCACATCGTTTCCAACGCATTCTCTCCTGTTTATTTTGTTGGCTTGGCTTGGGCACCCAGTGCTTTTTTACCCTAGTATGGTAAGTTGATCTTGGTAGTTTGTTTACGGTGTATTCCTTCGCTTTCGCTACAATTCTCCCGTGTAATCGAGTTGTGAATACGTTTTTCCTCAGATTGTTCGATTGGTCCACTTTATTACCAAGTCCCAAAGACATCAATTTGTAGTCTTGGTGCTTGGAGAAACAACGTGTTTCATAGTTAGTGGTCCATGATATTAATCAATTGTTTTCTTACAAGGCTGCGACAAAGAAGCAAAAGTACGAGAGGATCTACGAAAAAAAACTGGCCACATCTCCGGAGCAACTGTGTCGAGGTTACGCAGTGGAATTCGAGACCTACCTACAGTACGCACGTGAATTGGTGTTTGAGGAACCTCCAGACTACCTTTTCTTGAGAAGACTGTTCCGCAAGCTTTTCAAGACTTACGACTTCGCCTGGGATTCTGTCTACGACTGGACCCTAATGAAACAGAAGCCAGCAGCTCTGTCCTCTTCTAGCAACGCTGCTGGTGGTCACCATCAAACTACTGCGACTCCTGCTGGAGGTGGCTGCAACAATAACAACAGCAGCAATCAACAGCAGATGTCTATGCTGCAGCAGGGTGGTGCCGATAGTCAACAGGTCGCAAACTATCGTCGGCAATACGTGGAGGAAACGTTCAACAACTCGGGCGTTGACTACGCACAACAGGCTGCTCAGGGAGGAGCCGCAGCAGCGCCATATAAGGATCCTAACGCCAGGTTCTGAAGAGTCCTCCTCTTCTCCTTCCTCTTCACATTTTCCTCATTCCACGGAAAATCCTACATGTGAATGATCCAATGCCTTCTGCATTTACTTTCTTTGTGGTACTGTAGTTGTTTTTAGCACTTGTCACTTCTCCATATGCACCCATATTTGCACGCATTTGTTGACCTGGCCTTCGTCCTCTGTGCAGTTAGAGAACACGTGATGTGTCCTCTTAATCGCAATGTGATTATCTCACTTTTTCCGCGTGGACATCTTGTACAGGCTTTGTTGTCCTTGCGTATTCTCTTCCCTTATTTTCTCTAGGGGGACCCGCACAGGAACTCTCATTACATTGCTGGTTTCTATGATATATACATATTGATGAGGTGTGAATGTGTTTGTGCGTATGACCTGACTTTGGTCTGTCTGCAATTTCTGTGCATTGTGAATTTCACTACCCTGTTCTTGTGGGGTGTATTCAGTTGCGTCTCTCTTTATGTGTGTGTGGCTAGCTAACTGTGAGCGTTTTGTAGTGCTTATTTTGTACTTTGAGTCGTGCCGCCTTACTTCTACTCTTGGTTAAAATTTTAGTCTTAAACAAGACTTCTGGTCAGGTCACCAAGGGTTAGACATAAGAGTAGGTGACCTTTGAGGGCTTTCAAATGGGGCCGGAGAGGTTGGTTGGGGTGATCTTTGCATTTTTGTATTTTCACCCCAAGCAGTAAAGGTTACGGCCGAAGCAGTAACTAGGCTTGCGTGGGATGACTAATCATGGTTGATGTGGTGAGATGGTCTTGCGTTCTGGCGGTTGTCAGCCTAGAATAGCGCTAAAGTAAAGCGGTGTTGTTTTTTTCAGGCCAGGGCCACAAATTCATGGGGGTATAGTTGTCTTGACTTTTTTTGTGAGCGATCGTGCTGGTGTAACGGGGTAGAGGGCGCTCGAGGCGTTTGGCTGCAGCTGAAGGATTCGCACAAAAGAAGTGGGTTTCTACAGCAGTTCAAAATAAGAGGAAACTTGAGGAGTCCTTAGTGTAGTATGGCTGTATTTAGAAAATCGACTTTTCTATTCTGAAATCGTCACTTTCCCTTTAAGGCCCTTAATAGCACGGTAGGCTATAATTGGACTTTATAATCTCTCAAGCACGTAAATTGTGACTGTCGCGGGCTTTGCAGTGAGCGCTGCTTTTTTTATCCACACATTATTAAAATCTACCAAACGAAAATGGGCTTGCGCCAAGACAAAACTTAATTACATAATCGTTTTGAGGGGTCAGCCTCCATTGCTAGACGACCTACAGCGAACTGTCACTTATTCACCCAACATGCGGGGTCATCTTTCAGTCATTATCACCTTCGGTTGCATTTTTAGGATCTACTGAATTTGAAACTTCGACAATGGCCAAATTACAGCGATACGATTGAATTTTTACTCCTGTCACAGCCATATTCAATTTTCAGGATCCAGCACTTCGCTGCGAAGGTTTCTGTACTCTAATGCATTCACTGTCGAGATCTTGGAGGAAAATCAACCACTGTAATGCAGATTACTTATAGTTTTTGTGACATTAAACGCTATCATTTAACCATTTAAGGTGCTGCTCAAGAAATAAAAAAACGTAATTATTTTGTAGCGTTGCATGTGAAACTCAACTAGTCTCTGCAAAACGGTTCGGTGCAATCGCGGTTACCATAACCTGGTAACATTCACCTTTCATGTACATATGAGACCATTATCGAATATATTACCATTGTATTGGTACAACATCATCGGGTTATGCATCTATTTCAACTTGTGTTGTGTAAATCTTGTATTGGATCGCTGATAGCTTATGCCATTGTTGAACCAATAAGCAAAGTGCACACCGCCTTCGTGGGTCATTCTAGAGGCTCTGTTCTGGCAGGTGATGTTAATCCTGAAAAGCGGTCAATCACGTGAGAAACTTGAGAGCTGAGACCAGAGAAGGTGATAAGGATCAGCTGACGGTGCCTCACAGACACCGCAATTCACATCTTCACCGCCACCACCACCAGTCACTTTCTAACTTGCCTATGCTAAATGTCAAAGTAAATCCTCTTTTAAATGCTGTATAGCCACGAATGGTGAATTAAATGAGGCTTTATGTCTTCTTGCAATAAATATAGGCTAAATTGAGCAAAATTTTCCATGTATTCCACTTTATGCCACTGGCTTTCTCATGAATTTTTAACCGAAGTGGATCGTTTAGTCAGACTTTAAGGAATTCAACATTACCCAAAATGGAGGAACAAGCAAAACAAAATTCATCGTATTTCTGATTAGGCGTTACAAAAAGGTAGTAGAAGGAATCAGCTTAGTTCTGCCCTGCACCAAAATTCTCTGCAATTTTCCATCGAACCGACGAATAGCTAGTAAAATGGGATCTAGTACCTCCTGATACCAAAGGAGGAAGTCTTGCAGCTATTAGACAGTAGTTTAACTAAAATTTAATAACTCTAATTTTTACACTCCAAGGGCAACAGGTTTATTGTATTAGAGTAACTATTGAGCATAAGCTAAAAGGAAATTCCACCTCCATCACTTCCATGTAGGAGCTGGGAACTGAAGCAGTGCAAAGTGATGGGCGAGAGGTGGGGTGACCTCAGTGTTACATCTCTCGTCTGATTTAAATGTCTCCAGTGCAAGTGCAAAGTGGAGAAATGCGTAAATGGATCACTTGACAGCCTCACTTCATACTGCTTCTCAGTCGTAAACGGTGTATTTTTTAGACAGCGGACTCTTCAACCCAGCCAATGGCGATGCGCTTATAGACTGTAATCCCTTCACCATTGTCAGATTAACTGACGCGCTAGCTTCCAGATTCGCACATAGGTGACGCCCCGATTTTCTAACCTGTGGTCGTGGTTACAAGCTTACGGCACATATTCTTTAGATCACAAACATGGTAATTGATTACGAAACAATAAAATAAAGGAGATTCGACTTGATCAGAGGATGACCATGTATTCTTGGTGTGTGAGTAACTATTTACTGATCAGCTCAGGTGAGTGTTAGTGCTGTAGTAAAATAGTTGAAACCTAGCTGCTTTGAGACCCTTGTAGTGGCGGCACTAAGCGCTGTCTAGCTAGACTCATTAAGGTGTGGAATTTTGCTTTGTTTATTCGAATTCGGGCAAATTCTCACACAAAGAAATGTACTTACGGGGCTGTGCTGAACCTTCATTCACAGGACTAATTAGCTAGAACTGATCGAAAAGCATAAAATTGCGGTTTAGAAATCGAATATAATGTGCTCAGAGCTCGCAACCGTTTTGGGGCCGCAGCTGTTGAACAAGCTGCCAGAGATTGGCACTTGTCCGAGGAATTTAAAGGAAAAGCAGGCAAGACCTTCGGCTATGTACCTATAAGTCATGCAAAATTCGATGTGAATATGCAAAATAAGATCTCTAAGAGAGAACTCCGATTTTGCATTTCAATTTCCTGATGGTTTTTGAGAAGAGGCCAATGGCCGTCGATTGGGTCTATCAATATCATTTCTTTTGCCGATAACGGAACATTGAATTCCTTTACTACAACTGTTGATGGATGCTTCCATTGGCTATCCTTCTGTCCACTTGCCAAACCTTGGTAAAGCAATGCGCTTCCATTAAGAAACAAATTCCGCCAATGGGTCAATTGTCTGGAATTCACCTGATATACTATCAACCTTGGAATTGCCTTGAATGGAAGCAGAGATAATTTGCAAGCCCAAACTGAGCCTTCTTGAGAATTTTACAACCGGCCCTCTTTGACTTTCACGGATAAACCAATGTTCTCTTTTACAGCCCTTGTGTTCATGCCTGCAGCTGGTCAACCATTACACCACGGTTCATTGCTAAATTGTGAAATCAACCTACGAGGGGTTTCATGAGAGAGGAATTCTGTTTCCACATTATTTATTTATTCGGGCACAAGTAAATTTCTGCTTCTGGAGCACACGTTCTGTCCACAATGCTCGCTCTGAAGTGAATACTTTCCTATTAATATGCAAAGGCAATTAACCCATCAGATAGAATTCGTTACACGGTATGTACCGCTCACCATCTCGTAATTATCAATTCCAACAGAAATATGACGTTTACATACCTTGAATGCATCTCCAAATGAGCTTTAAAAGAATTTATTGCCTTTAACTTTGTTATAATACATACAAATAAATACACATTTTAGGCTAGAAACTGCCGGATAATATGAGCATCGTGTTGGGTGGGATGCCGATGGTCTCCGAGGAGGAAACGTACCCTGAAGACTCCTAATCCGTGACATCTGCACCCATTTAAAAATCACTTCCCAATCAGGCATGTCCTTGCCCAACTCGTCCACCGATTCAAAAGGCATGATGGGGGAGGTAGACGAAGGAATCACCGAGCCTATTGCATTAGTTTGCCCGGAGTTCCAATTTGAACAATTTGGGAAATGGCTATTCATCTTTTGATTTACAACGGTACTAAATGACGCCTTTTTTTTGCGTCCTAAAGTAATTATGTCAAAATTTTCTCATGCTTTTTGAAAACGAGGTGTTTTGCACTAAAAAATTATGGCACTTGAGAAAGTTTAGATTTTTTGGTAAAAAACACAATTTTAAGGATAAGCGATCTTGTTCAAAATCTGACGCAACTTAAGCGTGTAAGGCCGAAGTAGTCTTAATGCTTTTCAAAACAACTAAGCGAATTCAATTAAGTGATCCCATTCTCTTCTTAGCCGTTTGGGAATTAGAAAAATAAAGGATGTACTTCTTGTTGAAATAAGCACAACAATTTCCGTCGGGATTATGTGCTTCCGAAATGTGGTAAGCACAAAAGTATGTATTTATGGACTACATTGTGATTTCTTAGTGAACCAGACTATCATTATTTTTACAGTCATAGCAATGTCAACTTATCCTTTTTCTACATGAGACTGCAGGGTCGTGATTCGGTTACGTAAAGAGGTACGACAAGACTTTTTGAGGACTATTTGGTTTGGTGGTTGAGTGGGCATTTCCTACTGGGCTAATGCCTTCAAGGGAATCCGCTTCCGGTTCTGCTTGGAGTGTTTGTCAATAAATATACACAGGCTTTACAGCTTTTGCTATTTTGCTCCACTATCCAGCATTCCAGACATTCCTTTCACAACATTTACGGGTGGGTAGGGTGAACTAATGTGATGACAGGGGAAAATCCATTATGAGTGTGAATAGATTAGCTGTAGTCAAAGAATTTAGGACTTACTTCTTTAAGTATGTGGTCTTTAAATGTGCTTAAATTTTTCTTCATTTGCAAAAAAATGCAGCTGAAAGTTGGGTAAATTATGCCCTCGGGTGGTGAAATATATTTCATTTAGAGTGTCTCGAAATAAATGATAATTTTAACAAATAGAACAATTATAAAGGACACTACGCGATAATTTCTTTCCGCCCACGAACAGGCGCTAACTACGCAGTTCTTTTTTTTTAAAAGAGGCGTCAAGACTGTTTCCATTAGCCATTCACTCCTGTGTCGGTTTTAATGCCTCTTCCTATAATTAACAAATGTAATAAAGTGAATTTGGCACTTAGCTGTTTGGTTTATTTACGTTCGCAAATGCTCATTAGTATCCCATGCATCAGCTTTAAATGGATGTGTTGCCGAGCGTTGATGAGGTGAAATGCAATATCTACATTAGTCCATCATAAAGAACTTGGTCTACTTAAAATATACACTCCTATTAAATAAGCACCCTCGTGAGCATTTTCAGACGAAATAACAGGAATATTCTGCTTATTTTAGTCGGACATCATATAAAAGAACAAGGACCTTTCCTCATGGTACCATCGAAGCTTAAGACAGTTTATATATTACGCGTTATTAATAATGCAACTGTCATGTTGTGGGAGATTCTTGGTATGGGAAATTCACCGCAGTTTCGCCGTAAGCAATGGGAGAATAAGGAAATAATCAGTTCGACTAAGGGCGTGAATAATCGGCCCACTGTAAAGTTAGAAATAAATGAGAACCAACAAAACAGAGTTACCTTAGCTTCTTCGGCTGCAAAAATTTCAGCCTTCGAAGAATATTGTATTTTAAAGAAAAGTGCTTTGAAACTAAAGTTGTTTGAAGTTTTCACTCCCCTAAGAAGTTTGGCATTTTGGACTCAGAATCTTTAAAGCATCACTTTGTCTACTGTCGGTTGTTTTCGTTATTTTGAAGCTACATCCTTGCAGATTTAAGCATTTTAAGTATTTGAGAACAAAAGAATTGGGAATTGGTCTTCTTTTATGAATGAGATGTAGCGCAGACAGCTGAAAACACCAATGATATATTTTGCTAGATAGCTAGGGCGTGGTTAACTAATGATCGCCAAGTTCATGGATAATTTAGGGAACAAACTTCATCCTGACAGGTATTTCTAGTCCTGGCTACAAATTACCCACTTCAGCTGCGGATAATAGAGGGCTGTAATCTGTTGGGAACATTGGATTCATCCATCTCAAAGTGGCCACAAGACCCGACGTAGTCACAGTTTAAAAAGCATTCGGATTTCGTGTATCGTTTCGACACGATAAAGTAATTTTGGACTTTTAAAAAAATATGCATAATAATAAAGGCGCCACCTCGGGCCTTGAACAAATCCCCTTCTCTACTTTTGGTCTCACACGAATGCCACAAGGAGACCGTTGAAGTGACAACTAGCTGTTAAAGATTGACTGAAAATAATGATGGACTTGACAAAATGGAAAAGGTAATTTGGATTGTTCGGAAACTGCTTAAAAATCCTTAAACATACCGACTTTCAGGTTTGCCTTAAAGTTAATTGGCTAAGCTTGGTCACTGCTCTCCTTTCTCTTGCCACAATGCATTAGCTTAAAAGTACACGACATTCTCACCGTGTGGAACAATGGGTTTAGCAATTACTTAGCTTACAATTTTAAACTAACATGAAATGAAGATGGTTCCAATTTTTTAAATAAAACTACTTGGACAAGTAAACTGCCTTCAAAATTTGGAAATATGTGACCTTTTCTCTTTCGTGTGATTAAAAAGTTTACACCTGGAGTACATTGGGCCTGTTCATCCATGTCCGCTGCAATATCAAGAGCTAAATTCGGTGGCTCTTAAATAGATCTCTGATAATGCGCCACAACTGAGAAAAAATTATTCCGAAGCAAAAAAGAAGTTTATATCATTGAATTTAGGTTTGGTGTCACAGTACATCATTTCTGCGAGAGGGATAAGATTTGGGCTGAAATCTAATTGTATCATATTATCCTTCATTTCTTAGCGTGAAATGATAATGGAGTGATCTAGCTTGAGCTCCCATAAAAATACATTTTTGCTACGCTTCATAAGGTCGAGATGGTAGACTGGAACTATGCTTAAATTGAAACCGATACAAATTCTTCTCCGAGTAAAAGGCGCCTAGGAATAATGCATGGTAGGGATCTCGTATTAGGCAAACTATGTGCCATGGTAATGTCCGAATAGTGGACGAGTGCCTTGGAGGAATGGAAGCAGGATCTAAACATCTAAATTTGTTCAATAGATTCTCAAATACCCCAATACTAATTCCTCAACTTTTTGCCTACAGTATTCCTTTTTTTCAACTGGCTGAGGAGGCGGTCTAACGAGACTTAAAAGAGAGATTCTGGATCTTAAACACAGTGTCATTTCCATTGTGTTTCTGGAAGGGTAGTTCATGATCTAAATCAGGTGCATCTTTAGCTAAAAATAGTGTTGTCTGCTATTCCAAAGTTATCATCGCTTTTCCTTTCGTATCGTCCACGCAAATAATGTAGTAATGCACCAATAGTAGAGTGGCATTAGGAACTCAGGCATCAAAGTTGGAACCACACTTAAAAGTGAGATCATTTTATTAAATGTCTCGCCATATAGGGTCTTTGAGGGAAATTGAGAAGGAAGTCCTAAACGTCGACATCGAAATCAATCCGACAGGCCTCCAAACTACAATATGATTGTTCAAGTAACTAGAAATCAGGTGCTAAGAAGGCTAAAGAGCTAACTAGTGGTCATTTTCAGGAGGTAAGGCTGCTATCGCTGCTGTGGTTTGGAATAATGTTCTCGTGCTGCAGCGTCACGCAGTAAATGAGCTGCTCTTTCCGGCGTCAGGTCACGTTGTACTTCAGCCAAGAGTTCATATCCCACCATGTGTTTCTTCACTGTGGCAGAGCGTAGAAGCGGAGGCAGGTAAATTCCATGCAGCTGCCAGTAGACAGCCTTCTGAGATAACTGCAGTGGGGCCTGATACCATCCGAAGGAGTAGGGTGAGCTTGTTTTAAAGAGATTGTCATAGGCGACCAAAATGCGCGACATGACATCGGCTAGTGTAGATTGCTCTTCAGGAGTCAGTTCGTCCAGTCGACAGATATGACGTCGAAGTGGAAGTATGAGGCACTCGAAGGGCCACGCCGCCCACCAGGGCACGAGGACTACCCAATCAGCATTGGTCACCACGATGCGTTCATTTGCGGCTAACTCGCGTTTTACGTAGTCGAGAAGTAGGAGACTCCCATGACGGGAGTAGTAGTCCTCCTGACCGTAATCACTACGCAGGGCTCGTGTGGGAATAAAGTCACTTACCCATGCCTACAGGAGAATGATAAAAAAAACCTCAAATGACCAACTAGAATTTGCCATTGTCGGTTAGATAAAGGTTAAGCCGAATTAAGTTTTCATTTGTAATAAAGCGTTCTTAAAATGTTACTGAGCCATTAAAAAGCAGTATAACTGTATTTCCTGCATTTGGCTAGTTTAAAGTTCCCCAAAAGCAAAATTTAATTAGCTTCTGTCTTCTCAAATTCTATTCAGAGCTAATTTTGAGGTCACATGGAAGCAAAACTTTGCATCATTTAGGGAGAATAGGCTTCGCTACCGTCGTTGAATTAGTACAGCAGCAAAGGTAACCCGAAATATCAGGAATTATAATGTTTGTCGAAAATGCAAATGCTTATGAACGCACGGGACGTTCCGTTTCAGTAACTTTAGCCATGAAAACGCGCCACGAGAGCATATTACAGTTTGCCTAATTGAAACAGCATCTACTTACTTTAAGTAGATAAATTCTAACACTTTGTAAATAGTTAAATATACATTACAGAATGATTTTGACCATATGAACAGCCCATGCGGGATTATAAGGTCATGAGCTTAATTACAAAAGAGTGCACCTCAGATAACCAATAAAATGCATTAACTTTTCTTATGTAATACCAGAATTACTGGTTTCACAGACACTTAGGGCACCGATTTTGCGTATCCGCTCGGCAAAATTGCCCCCGGGCCGTGCCAGTAGCCCCAAGCCCCGCCGTATGCAGGCGACATATGCTCTGCCCAAGCATTATGCCGTCTTATGTCTCCAAGATAATCTCGGGGCGCTACAGTGGTGATAGCGGAAAGCAAACCCAATCCTAAAGGACAAATATCCTGATTTCTATCACCCAGCACTAAATCCTAACATAGGGGAAGAAAGGTATATGCTACAAATGGGGAAATCTGTGACGACCCTCGGTCCCGAGTTTCGCAGGAATGTTATTAACGAATGAACTGACACTAGACGTGAACCATTTAAAAAAGTTCATTACGGATGTGTCTACCTGTACCTATACGAAGGTGTCAATGAAGTGAACATGTGATACCTCTACCACCTTTCTACTAGCTGGATAAAACCCAGATAGATATGAATGAACAGTACTGAAGTGAGAACAGAGTAGCAAGGAGGAACAGATGCGATATCCTATTTCCACTAAACGATTTATAATTTCTTCTTTTTATAATACCTGCTTTCCGACCGGTGTTCTTATAGCTAGCGATAGACATGTGCGATAGCCAGCACATTTCCCCTTCCCCCAATACAGCTCCCAAACAGGACGATACTCAAGATCCAGTGGAATTGCCGAGAGGGGTCAGTGGCGTTGCGGTCAGATATCTTCTCGGTTGCACCCAAATTGGATGATGGTGTGGTTGGCGGGTGTGTGTTATTTTTACAGCACCGATCCCGCTGTGCTGGCCGCCGCTGGAGGTTGACTAAGGGGAGCGCTGAGGACGATACTCAAAAGGAGAGTAGGGCTATGTGATATCTTGATTTATTTGACTAATCCTTTGTTTTGGTTTCATGGGTACTTTTGCTGGGCGGAATGCTCTCTAGGCCATGGCAGTAGGCCCTCAGTCCTTCTGTAGGTCGGTAATACATATTCTGCCTTGTTATTACGTCTTCATTCGTCTTCAGGGAAGTCTCAGGTCACCACACTTATTGGCAGACAAAAGTCAATTGAGGCCCTATTGTAAATAGTCAAACTTAACGTTATTATATTTGATAAGAGAACTTTTTAGTTTGTTCAGTCATATTTATAATCAGGAAAATACCTATAGGATCTTGATAAGAAGATTTTATTCGGCCCGTCTCCAGAAGGCTATAATGCGGGTATGCGCCTAAGCTATTGATAGTTTTGACATCGTAAAAGATTAATTATTCATTCAGAGGATGGAGAGTAAGCTCAGAGGGCCGGAACGGTTAATAGAATTAACAAAAACATTTTTTTTAGTTTATTGGAAGGCGAATCTTTTACAGTTTACACGACGCAATTCCTTGCTTAGAAAAGAGGGTGCAGTGGATAGATGGTAATAAAGAAGGTAGAGGTAGGTAGATAAGTTTTACCCCCTAACTGCCTTACTTTAAATGACGGTAAAAAACAAAATCGGTGTAGTCTGGAACAAATTTGTCGCATGACTGAACTTCAAGTGTACCATGTAGGGGAATAGCAAGAGGTAGGAAAATCACAAAGAAAACACAATCTCCCAGACCAGTGCGTCCACTAATTGCTCATTCGTCCTCGTCTAGTCAAGCAATGGTTCCGCATTCCAAACACTACTGGGAAGTAACACGAACATAACAGACAAGGGACAGCAAATCAACCACGAATGCAAAGCAATATTGAAAGGAATGATGGAACATCCTCATAATAGTTAAGAGCTGCGAAGATTTGCGGTAGCAAATGGGATTGTTGGACCAGACTGTTGTAATCTACTAATCTAAAACCACAGTATCATTATGGCTCTACGTAGTACGAAACTAAGTGATGAATCACATGTCGGGGGTACTAATTTAAGGTGTCAAAACAATCTAAGATTAAAACTTAACCATGGTTATGGAGCCAAAATATTAACATTTTGGGTTAAGCGATCGTTAAATTCTGCATCGACACCTATAATTTGTCTGGAGAGCCTGTGTAACTATGGTACATTAGTCTAAACGATATGAATGGGATCAAAACGTTGAATCTTACCTAAATAGTTAAACAAGAACTTTAAATCGTGTTCGGAGGAGTTGTGATGAGCAGCACGCTCCCACATGGGCAGTCAATGACCTTTTCAGGGCCCCACTTGTACTCATGACAGCATGTTGGCATTTATGACGGGCTCTCAAAGCTACTAATTATTTATTGAGCTATAGACACATGCCAAATCACACAACCGTAATCAAGCCAGTTTATCAGTGCCAGTTTTACTTTACCACTAGTATGTTATGAGCACTGAAGTCATTTTACGCAAACGTAAGCAACAGTTTGAATTAAAAAATGAGGGTAAAAATTGCAGGATCCTCAAGGAGTAGAAAATAATCTAAATAGGCTATGGATTCTAGAGAAGAATCACCCAAAAACATTAAATATGTATGTTAATTGAAATAGTTTTTGGTTTCGGCATGTCCCAAGCTAAAATGTAAGCGGTAAGCACATCTCGAAGCACGCTTGAAGTAGTAAAAAGGGATAATGTAGCCAAGATTTCAGACTAAAGACTGAACCTGGGAAAACACTTTCCATCTATCGGTTCTAACGTATACACCGCCAAAATCACTGATTTTGAATTGTAAAACCAAAAAAACATCTCATTTCCGCCAAGCATGCTATGAAAAACGCCTTTCTCCACGACTCAAGATTAACAAATGAGATAAGAGAAAGCGAAATTTTCATCCGAAATCAGAAGTTTTGTCATTAAATTAACCAACAACTTTTCAAAATGTAAATAAATAGACATGGAATGATTAAAGGAAACACTAAGTTAGAAATCTGGCCCAACTGTTCATGCTCTATTGTAGAATGACAAAATTTGGTGCACTACTTTGGTGTTTTGGTTACGCGGGCACCTAAGGCTCCGCTATTGCACATCCGCTCTCCAACATGGCTCCTAGCTATGGTGGTAGCCTCGGCTTTTACGTACATCAGTAATATGTCATCTACTCATATAACTTCCTTCGACTGCAGGAAAGACGTAGGCTGCTACATTAGGACGTTTTTTTCCTTAGTTTAAGCGTTAAAACACTCATTTCGGATTTCTTAATGGTCCATCAAGTTCAAGATGGTTGATTTCATCGCAAGAATGCAAAAATGATCCAGAAATTCAAAACAAACACTTTCATCCAGCAAATGCAATGTTTCAACAGGTACAACTAATGGGAATCACCAGCACGATAAAGTTAGGTAACCGGGTGGAAGGTGAGATATGATGGTTGTGTCTGTGGGCAGCAAGCACAGGCTAGTTACACCTGACTGTTGCGGAAGAAATGCTATAGAATGAAGACATTCTTCGATTTTGGGCAAATATACATAGAACGTGTAACACATTATTCAAATTTCAGTGCCAGTTCCTAAATGAATCTATGGTGATGCTGCGCTATTAGTCCAATAAAAAAACTCCATTCGGTGTCCAAACATACCATCCGCCAATGTGGTGACATGGACGATGCTATGTAATGCTTTGATTATTGTACTTCCGTCCAGCGGCATGGTCTTCGGGCCATGCCAGTAGTCTCACAGCCCTTTCGTGCATCTGTAATACACAGTACTGTGATTTCTTCCGACACCAAGGAAATGTTGGGCGCTACAGGTATAACAGTAGAATTATTCTTAGCTGTCAAAATTTGTCCCATCTATGCACGAAAGTATCTGTGCCACTTTTACATCGGTCGTGCATAGTCCCCTAACGTGACATTCATGCTTTTAGTCGCTCGTTCACCCCAGGCATATGTGTTCACGAAGTCCCGAGAGTCAATTTCGTAATTTATAGGCTTTGATATTAATAACATACTTTGGTTGTTTATTTAGCTCTTTGTTTTGGTTTTGCGGGTACTTCCACTGTGTGGCATGGCCTCCGGGCCATGCCAGCAGTCTCTCAGCCCTTCTATACATCGACGCATTTTCGGCTCTAGTGTTATGACTTTATCCACTTCAAGAAAGACTCGGGGTGTTACATAAAAAATGAATTTAGACATGACTAAAACCGCTAAATGATTATTTTGTGCAAGAAATTTGGGGAAATAATATTTGAATTTTGATCAAATCAAAAATAAACAGAATGAGGAACCGACGCATAACAAACGATTTGAAATGGCAAGCTCATTATCTCTACGCATCATCATCGCGAGCAAACACAGTCAAGACATTTATTGAAAGTGAAATGAGAGGTGGTTGGGCGCCCTACCACGCCTAACGCAGCGTTCCGTGGAAACACACCCGTACACATACGTAAACACCGGTTTATGTGAAGGCTTGCTCGACCACCAATTGGTGCAGAGATTCCACTTTGGCCGTAAACATCCTGGCAATTTATGAAACAGTTGGATTGGCACATAAATCCACCCCGACCAAGACTCTTGAGAAAGTGAGGTGGCCAGACACTTAAAATGACGGAAACCAGAGCGATATCTTGTTTGATTATACGAACGCACATTGAAAGTTATTTTAAAGTGCTATGATCCTCTAGCCGAACAAGAACCGACTTTCTGGTACGCCGCTTACTTAATATAGCTGCCGTGCATTTCATGCATATCTCGATTATACCAAGAGGGTACATTGGTAGTAACATTATGTAACGATAGAAAATCTGTTTCAAAAGGATGAAAGGAACGTTGGTAACTAGATTTTTCCGACATTAGTCGGCGTAGCCTTCAAAAAAGCTGTAACATTTTGATAGGAGTGGATACATTTATCCCTCATTTAAATCACTTCTACTGAGTCAAGAACCAATGATTACAATCTTAAGATCTGGTGGTTCTACTCTTCGTCAGAAGCCAAGGTAGCGGATGATTCATAAACTGAATGCGGCTAGGATGAAACCACAGGAAAGCCTCACATTTCCTTTCATTTTCATCAGAAAGAGGCTTTTTGGGCAAAGCTTCTCGTTAAATGGGGTTAATGTAGAGCACTTCTGTTGCCAAATGACAATTGTCAACATCCATCGTTAATACCGAAAGTGTTGATAAAGAGGAGAGAGTTTATGTTGATAAGTTTTATTGAAACCACGGTAGCCACTTCGGAAAATAATGTTCTAAGTAAGAAGGGAGCTATGAGAAACGTTATATTAAGTAACTTCTAGTCTTTCAGTCTTTTCTTATCACTATAATGACAGTGTACTTCAGTAGAACTATTTTTCTTCGCTTCAGCCCCCGAGATTTGGTCCTATACACCCACACATCCATACTAAACATGTTTCCAAACTTGTACACTTCATAACGCCTCCACGACTACAGATTCGCTCGCCTGACAATGTGGATGGGGATTCGAGCACCCCATAATCTCGCCGCGGTTTTCAAATATCTGAATCCACTGAAACCCGCGATCAGCGCATTGACGAGTGAGACGGGCCCACTCCTCAATGACCTTGATAACTTCCTCGTGGGTCATAAGAGCGAGGGTGAGGTCAGGACGGGGATGAAAGCAGGTCACGTAGCACTCCCCTGTGGCAGGAGCCCAAGCAAACAGAGGATCCGCTGATTGCGCCTTTCTTGCGTCCTCCGACAAATCTCCTTCCGCCTCTCCCAAACGTGCCGACTGTAAATAAAAAATAGTTAAGGGACACTTTATAGAGCTAGATTAAGCCACTGAATACTAGATGTCCGTATTCTTTAAGTAATTGGACTTTACAAACCTAGAATTCTGCTTTTTTCGCAATAGGTTTTTTGAGGACGCTGATAGGATATTTCAAACAATTTTCACAAATGCTTGACTACCATCATGGTAGATCAGCTAGCATGAAATGTTTACTTTCTCTGAACGCCAATTCTGATTGTTTAAAATACCTAGGTTTGCCCTCGATGCTACTAGCTTTATTTATTTATTGTGACGATTTATGGTCACTGCATCACTAGTTCTCTTTGAATACTACCTTAAGAGCTTAAAATCTGTTACATTTCGCTCACACCACAGTCAGTACTCTTAGCTCTTGTAAAAGTGAATCATCAATGCTTTCTCCAATGTTTTTTGACCTGCAGAACTTCCAGCACACAGTAGGTTAGTCAGGTTATAGAGTCGCCGGGGTTTCGTGTCAGTTATTCTCGCCTTTTTGGTCACCTCTGCCTAAAATGTGCATTTCACTTTGTCCTTGTCTTTCAAACAGACCACTGGTGAGGGATTTATGTGTGACCATAAATAATTCATTTGTTGGTTGCGTGTTTTTTAAGTACAAGTTGAAACTTGGTTTCCAAGAAAATAGTTTTAGATGACCCAGTCTGTAACGAGCCACAGGATGTAAACAATATGGTCCGACCATATTGAGTAAAAAATAGCCAAGGGACCCAAAGTACGCAAACTGCTTGTGAATTAGCGACAAGATGTGAATAATGGTACCTAATGAAGGGATATTGGATAGTTAAAAACTAATCAGAAATGGGAAGCAGAAAGAATACTTAATTGGTCCAACAGTATGATTTAAACAAGCATCTGAAAGATAATGAGTAATTTCCAAACTTGTTTTCCTTTGCAATCAAGACAAAACGCCAAACACCGTTAATACGGTCTTTTATTGTTACCAGTGGCACAAAAAAGAATTTGCTTTGAATAAATTGGAATGAGGTGCCAAAATGCTCATGAATATACTATTCATTGCAGATTAACGGGACTTAACAATGGATACAGTCTAACTTTATAGAACACCACTACTCCATCCAAACATCGCTATAAATGTAAGGGAAAAAAGACTTTAAAACACTTCATCTATAGCATGAAGTAGAATCAAGGCCAGCGGATCACCACCTTCGTGTTTTAGGCACCTGACCACATCCTGTAAGCTAGATAAAGACCAAGTTATTAAAAAATCCTTAAAAAACTGCCTTTCAGACATGCTTTACTAGCGATCACAAGATGAAAAAATAGTACCAGTGGTATTTCGGGTGCAATCATTGGCCAAGTGTCTCCGATCCTTGCCTGCGGGATGAAAACGAACATTTCGATGTGAGGTCAGAACTGCATATTTAATGGTCTAATACAAGTGCCCTTGGTAGAACTGTCTTGGAAGAATTGTCAACGGAACGAAATAAACCTTGATATGAACTACACCGAACTGAAATTGGAGTTCTGTCCCATTCGCCTCCCATTTTCATGAGCTGACTCAAATTGTAAGCATCGTTAATCCACTCAAGACTTGATTTACTTCATTCCTTATCACCCCGTATGAATCATTTGTAAATTCTTTAAAAGACACTTTGAGGTGGTCTTTGAAAAGTTAGTTATATCTCGGAGAGAATATTTGCAACAATTTCATCGAGAGCACTGGCAGCCGTTCGTTCCAGCTCTAGGCTTCCAGAACGACGCAATTTTTATCTATCTACGTTGGCACAGAATTCTACAGGATCTGGCAACAATCCTTTTACAGGAATCGATTCTATTTCAGCAGTACAGTAAAAATAATTTGCAGAAGTGTCACCTGTGGCTGGATTTGCTTCTGACCCATCAAAATATTTGCTGAAAATACTATTTTCCAATTTGCTGTTTTTGAGGAGGACAAAAGCTAAGTTAACTCGCGCGTTGTTGCAAACATTGATGGCTGAGGGAGCAGTAGTGATGGATTGTAAACATTTCCACCTGACAAGCCGATTGCAATCGCAATTTATCATCCAGATTGTATTACATATTGACGAGAAAGGCGTAAAATGCACCAGAATACATGAGTCTAGGCAAAATTGATCAAGATATAAGTGATAAAATAATCTCGCTTATGATTTTGATTAGGTGGTCCAATCCCCAGCTGATATTATCTGCCACAGCTTCACAAGATTGGTATGGTATCCTACCCTTAACTACAGTCTCTCCGTCCTTCTGTGGGCTAAAAAAACCTTTCTTCCATTCTGAGTAGCAAAATTACGGCCTTTGGGAGTTTGTAAAAACAAACCTAGCATTGGCCGTGAGCCCACTCTAGTCCAACCACTGTAATCGGAAGGAAACTTGCATCACTACGGCTGCATAATTTTCCTGCATCAATAACAACAAGAGTTCATCACCTAAAGCCGCTCCAACAATGAAAAAAAATCCTGTAAATGTGAGATTTTAAAGATAAGACTGGGTGACTTCACTAGAATTTGTATCAAACTGCTGGATTCAAGTGGAAAAAGTTAAACCGGACAGAAGAAACTGTGGTAAATAGATTGGAATTCGGTATTCTATCTTTTAAGGTGCAATTCCCGTACCTTAGTCAAAATTTAGGTACACTTCCTTTCTAGCTCCCATCACTTCAAAAGAAGCTATGGATTCTCTTAGTCCAATTGAGCATAGGACTGGATATTTCGTAATTCTACTTAAAAAAGACTTCGTTTTTCTCAATCTAAATTATAGTGAGTGAGGGGATTGCTTGCTTCTCCAAAAAAGTAACAGCTTTATCGTAGTAGACCACCTTGACCACGTGAAAAGATTAATGATAGCCTAGCTAAATCTGACGCCTGCGTCGCATCACTGAATTGGTTGAAGAGAAATAACGAAGTGCCCACCCACATAAACTGTAAAGAACATGGTCAACTTAAGACCAGAGTATTTAACTGAGACCATTAGATGTCATTTCAGTACGCTACCTCAAAATTGGTGAAATGAAGCACTCGGGGTAGAACTTCCACTAGTATTGTTCAAGTCAGATAGATACGTAATTTCACGTCTACAAAAAGCATTCCAACCTGGCGGTGGCGCATGCAGCAGGAAGCGACAATTGTGTTACGCCAGACATCCGTAGCTGACACACAGGTCATAAGTCAATTCAGACGCCGTAAATGGGCACAGTAGGCCAAGGTGGTAGCACATGTGGGCTTACAAGCCCCAGATACTCGTACCTACAGCAGACTTGAGCTCAGTACGGTGACGGAGTGCTGTTACACTAAGACATTTGGATGTTGCAAGTATTTCAAGGATGATCATACGTCATTGACAACCCCACCCATGGTAGGTACCAGTCTACAACCACGGCAGTCATTTCTGTTAACCTTCAGTCAGCGTGTTGAACCTCCACTCCTCTACACATAATTGAAACACAACCGGACGTGTAACTTGAGTGTACAAGAGACGAATCTCTCTGTGGAAATGGTGATTGCGATCATTCGTGAGCACTTGTAGTTTTGAAGGGTCACCACACGGTGACACAAACGAATTTACACTGCTCACTTCACTATATGCGCTTGTCAACGACTCGGTTGGGAGGCATTGTTCGGAGTTGTTTCCATGGCTCTCCTAGAGCCTTCCAGTTAGCGTTGAAATATTAGGGAACAGTGTATAAGGGTAGCTGGGAGATCCTACAAGCCGAGAAATGAAATGCACCTTCTATTGCTTGAAATGCCCTAGCTTAATTCAAGTGCTTATTATAAATTGCAAATCCAACTGGTTTGGCGCACCAACTTAGGTAAATGATCCATCTAAATGCAGTCACTCGCCACTTCTCTAAACGTCCTCCCCATGGGCAATACGAAACTGCATTCTTTTGGCCAAATTTAATTATCTGACCAGTGAATAAGATTCCTAGTCCGACTAGACGAAGGCAAAGCTTGGCGACTAAATCTGTCAAAGTCAAAAAGCCTAAAAATGAGTCTATATGCAAGCAAAAACAGCACTTGAATCGTCGCCAGACATGTAATAAAAACAGACCGAATGAACAATGGATAAATGTGGGATCAAATTAATCAAATAAAATTCAATGCGGGTTTTAGAATCCTTTAACTTTACCAGACCAATTTTGAATTGATCTGAAAATGAAAAAGCAAACGCGAAGCTATGCCAAGGTAGATTAGACAGCACGTACGAAGGCAGGAAAGTCGTTGGGAAAGGTAAATGTGCTCTCATAGAAGGGATTCACCACTCCGCTGGAACGCGTTGAGCCGGGGGCCAAAGCATTGGGCTTCGCGGAATCCTCAGATACCTGGGAAGTAGGATCGCCAGCAGAAACGGGTGATGTCTTCTCAACAGCTCCTGCCCAAGGTCGATTGATGCGGTTCGGGGAGACAACCACCCACTCCTGAGTTAGCGGATTATACCGCCTGTGCGATTTATCTTGTGGCGGCTTTGGAATGACCTGATCCTGCGCAATCAACATCACTTATTCAGACTTAGGCATTCTCAGGGGAGAGGTGTGCTTGAACCAATGTGTAGTATTGAGACCGCCTTGCTCATTCTCAGGGAATATGCTACTCGATTCAAAGTCGAAAAATAACTACAACTCCACTTCCTGAAATACACAAATTAGCAAGGTATTAGACTGTCCACTTGGTTTGTCTTTCAGACACTGTGCTAACCTTCGATTATGTGGGTCCAATCCCAGCTAGTCCCCGCGTAGAGATCTTATATAATTAACATGAAATATTGACAATTTCATTGCTTGGAACGGAAACGTATTGGAAGGCTGAACACCCCGTATGACATTTCTCGCAAAAGCAGCAAAACAAGTACTCTTTGCCACCTACATGAGGCAGTTAACTCGAGTCGCTCTCACACAGAAATCCCGTCTCGTTCAAGGTTGAAAAAGCATCGCCTATACTACTTGTCAATCAAAGATCGTGGTATTACTCCACCTTTTAATCAGCACAAGTTAGTTCGATTCTATCTCCCTCAGTCAAAAGGTCGGCTGTCACAAAGGGCTGACAAAGATTGGGAAGTGACCATTTGGATGCGGGAGGATTGGAACCGAACAGCACAAACGAGTGTCTCGCAGAGCCTACTAAACACTCTGAACCCACTCGATTGACCAGTCAATTAAGGCACTTTAAGGCGCTACGGCCAGAAAAAAAGCAGCCTTTTAGCAAGATGAGGTGGTTTGCAAGAAAATGGTAAGATGAAATTCCTTATCCCGTTTGCGTCACAAAGAAATCTACACAAGGACAACTAAAGTAGGTTAATTACATTTAATCCTTATCCGAAAAAAGACCTGCTCTAATCTAAGATGAAATACTATGACAAGTCCACTTCTTCAAACGTTAATTTGCTGCATCGTCAACGCAATTGATCCAGTGAGAAATCTAAGGTCAACCAATCCTGTGGGATTAGGATGGATGATTTACCTCGAATCGCTTCAGGTGGAATAAAAGGAGTTGCACTATCACCATTAATGCCGAACATCGGAGCATAAAGATTCAAAGTAGTATATGGCTTCAAATAATGACAGGGACTCAAATGATGTCATATCTCTATACCTCTAAAGGGTCTGCCTCAAACATGGCAAAAGTTTTTGGGACAAACTAAATGCAAAAATAAAAAGCCAATAGGGCACAAAACCAGAATCAAGAATAAAGGGAATAAAAATCACTGAATTGCAACCATAGAGTCCTCACTTCGATAAAGAAGCAATGCTGACGCCATGGAAACTTTAATCAAGCCAGAACAAAAGCATATATGCTTCGTGAATTTTTCAAAAAAACTAGGCGGCCGATCATCACATCATTAAAAAAGCCCAATAAATCAAATAAGAAGCACAAAGAAGACAAAAGTACTCGTTATTGGAAAGTCGAAAAACATTTAATAAATGCCAGTAACAGCGGATACTTCATCTCTGGTGAGAGGCTTCAAGTTGAAGCCCTTCAAAGGATCCTTCCCTTCAAGTTTTCGTAGATCCTCCAGGTCACGTTTAATATCGTTTCGAAGAGAGCTGATTTCGGTGGTCAAAGTATTCATATCTGATTTAATGGCAGTTTTAAGACCATCCTTAGGGACCTTGAAAAATTGATGGGAAAGGCAAGCCCAGACGACATTTGGAGAATGGCTGTCATTCAGCCGGTTTAAAGCTTCCTGGGACTTCCTCCGATTCATTTCATACAACTTGCACTTTTCTTGAGAACTTACTACTTTCTCAGCAGCGGCTTCTAGCTCTTCTAGATCTCGAAACAACTTCGCTAACCGAACACTGTCCATTGTCAATCAGATACCACTTAGCCACTCGCACATTTCCCTTACGATGATTAGTTAGAGTGTCCTTGAAAAGTCAACTCATTTCTAAAGCGTTCGGAACTACTTACTTTGTAATCATAACATAACTTTTGACTGTTAAACGCATGTTTATACTAAATGTGCATTTAGTTTGCATAATATAATGGGGTAAGCATTAAGTTTTAGTGTAAAAAACGGTGGCACTCAGGCGCGTTTTTGAAATTGTGTGTAAGTCGCGCGCGGATGTGTAATCTAGATTAGTCGGCTGCTAAATGCAATACTAACGCTAAATTTGTGAGTTACTTAATTGTAGGAGAGATGTTTTGTCCTCAACAGTTCTTCTCCTTCAAACCTACTTTTTAAACTAGACGGCTTGACCTATAGAGCACATTTCAGACTATCCCATTGAAATCGTCTTTTAATATATTGACACCAAGTTGTAACCATGGCGCTTCAAGCTCCCGAATTACGGAACCTCTTCCGGCTTCTTCTTTTTCGTTGTACAAAGTAAGTCTATTTTCGACCCGATTTGATGGGGAATGAAAATAGTGACTTTACACTTATACGCTTTTCTTAAGAATCCCCCATTACCTATCCTCGACCAGGGTGTGCATAACTCGGGTAAATCGTGAGCTTTATGGGCGAATGTATCCTGTTCACCTGGCCCTACCTAACGGCGCTACTATTCGGATTCGCTACAAGGAGCCACGATATGTGCTTCAGGTAAACTTTTCGCTCAACTGCGCTATTTTTGCATGTCAATTGTTTGTACGCTTGTGAGAACCAACATCACTTTGGGCCAATAATATTAGTTTTGCGAGGTGCCTTTTTATGAGCCCCATCTCTTTGTTAAATACTCCGTTCATTTGATGCACCTTCGACTAACTATGATGATTGTCGTGTTTCATTAACCTGGCAGTTTTGAGCACTTTCTGGATCATTTTTCATGGAAACTTGACCTCCTAGTCATTCTCTTGCATCGAACGGTTCGCAAATGAACTGGAGGGAGCAAGGAGAATAATTTGGACTACCAATATAACGACCCATTTGTCCCTGCAGACGCTATGAGACATAGAACTGGTGCGTAGACTCACCGTTATCGGATTTGGGAATGACAGGATAATAAGTTGCATTAACAGCGAAGTGTTACCATCATTTGTCACATTTGCGTCAAACCCTTTAACAATTCGAAAGTTTATGGTCGGTTTGGGACCGATGTATCCCTTGAAGCAGTAGAGATTCGAGCCGTCAAATAGGAAATTTTGGGGGTTAATGACGCCTTGAAATATATTTTAGGCAAGTATACTAGTTCAGCTCAATTTCATCCTCTTCCTTTTCCCAATCCTACGACATATCCAGTGATCAAGGCCTTTCGAGATCGATCATTTCATAATGTCGTGGCAACCACGGTACGGCATTGATATCAAAGTTCCCTCTGAATGTACTATAAGATGTATCACTCTGGATATAACGTTAATGTAAATGTTGAGAAAGGCTAATGGACTGCAAACAGAAATGGAGAGAATGGAGCGTCACGCTGCAGAGCGAACTGAAAGATGCAAAGACTGAGGAGCCCGCGCAGTTAAATGTGTAAATGAATCGCGCGTCGTTCTGTGAAGATTCAATAGCACCAGTTGCTGCTCACTGATCTTCACTTTTGACTTCTCAGTTGCCGCTGGATCTGGACGAGTGCGATGAGGAGGAACGGGCTCGGCGCCTGCTGCGTCGAAAGCCGCGGGCTCGTTTGGAACTGCAAGAGGACATGGGATTCGAGGACTCCTTCGATTCTGCTGCTTACGACTTCCTTTGGTCGAAGTCTAAGTCCAAGTAACCTTCTGTCTATTCTCTTTCTCTTCGCGCCTATCACACTCCCTTCTGCAATAAACCTGAAGCATCTGTACATAAAGAAGGGGGATTCCTTCCGCAGTTCATTCTCACATCTCCTGAACTAACTCTTACTGGATCTGAAGGAATGGTGGTGCTTCTAGGTACCTCTTTTGGGAAGAATGTGGCAATTTCCTGAAATCTCGGAGCATTTACTTTCGGTCTACCCAATTTTGTTCTCATTCTTTGAACTTGAACGACTTCTTGCTAATGGAATTGCAACTCAGGAAGGTCTCGTAGCACATCTACCTACCTCTTTCCGCTTTTCGTTTTCTGGAATTCTAACTATGACTCCTTCAGAGGCGATAATCACTTACAGACTAGACGATAATGCTTTCAAACTGGGCAGATTATGGCCCATAGGTTGATGTTTTGATTTTCGACTCCTTTTCTTTTCCCCCTCCAGTTGGATGCTGAAGTGTGTTGTGGAGTAAACGTGTGCAAGGCACTCTGCGCGAGATCCAGAGGCAGATGTCTCTAATGTGTATGTGTATATATAGTTATTCAAACGCAATCACATTGTGGGAAGTGAGTTCGATTTACCAAAGCATCTTTAAAATGATTCCTTTTTTCCTGCACAGTCAATGACTTTATTGTCCGGCTTTTGTGCGATTTATGCAACACTTTAGGGAACACTCTCACACCTTAAATTAACTTTCCACTTATTCCTGATGGAAGTTAATCTGGTTCTATTTCCTCATGTTTTTCTCACTAACAAGTTACGCTAAACCCCAAGGGGTATATATTAAATTCTTGATTTGCATACGTACCTCTGTTTTAACCTTTCGAGTTTGACATAAGCTTCAATCGCAAAATGCTTACTCTTTTTCTATCAGTAGTATCACTTAAGCTCAAACCGTCACAAAATTAGACAATATTGACTACAGCTTGAGTCGAGTCGGCTGATTTTGTGTTATTCTAGAGGTGAAATTGTGGCGCGTGTGAAACGGTGAGGTTAGCTGCCTGTTTAATTGTAATAAAAGCTCATAAAAGTGGATATTTTATGGCTCAACTTATACTAGACATTTCAATTCGAGAATTCAATTAGCGGCCTGGGAATAAATGATGGTGGGTGAGCTATTCTCAGCAGCCAAAGCAATTATAGGACTACTTCCCCTTTGGATGGTATCGTTTTCCTTATTTTTATAAGTAAAAGATAACTAATAATCTTTACCAGCAATGCTTTCCTAGCGGAGGTCTACATTCAGAGGGAAGAGGTGGATGTACCAAAACATCGTTCGCCTTCTTCTAAAGTCATCTGAAGACGAAAGAAGATATAATACTTGGGAAAAATGTATTGTCGACGTGGGGAAGGGGTTGGAGGGGAGTGGCATGGCCCGGAGGTCAGGCTACTTGGCAGCGCCCAAAGTAGGTCGTTACCAAAACGGGGAGTACCATGTTTTTACTTCAAAAAATGACGGTAAATTCGAGATAATGAATCACCGAGGGTAACCAATGTCAGAACATGGATTAAAGGGGTAGTAAAAGCAGGGGATTCAACATGTCACAACCGCCCCCAACCATCTGTTCGACCGTAGTCACGCTAACCACCGTGTTGTTTTAAATGACATCGTGATTTCTGGTCCCCTTTCCCACAAAAAACGCATGCTACTCATAGCTTAGACGTTTAACTAATGTTATTTCAGTTTTTCACAATTTGTTCAAGCAAAAAAAAACTAGGGATTTTTTCAGCAAGTCAGAGACATCGATTGGTATATATGCAGCGGATGAAAGATAAAACCATTGTTCAAGTTAAAAAGGGACGTAATTTCATGTCTACAAAAAACATTGCAACCTGGTAGTGGCATATGCAGTAGAAAGTGACTCTTGTGTTCTGACACATCCATAGCCGGCTTCAGACGCCGTGAATGAGCACAGTAGGCCAAGGTGGTAGCACATGTGGGCTTACAAGCCCCAGATACTCGTACCTACAGCAGACTTGAGCTCAGTACGGTGGCGGAGTGCTGTTACACTAAGACATTTGGATGTTGCAAGTATTTCAAGGATGATCATACGTCATTGACAACCCCACCCATGGTAGGTACCAGTCTACAACCACGGCAGTCATTTCTGTTAACCTTCAGTCAGCGTGTTGAACCTCCACTCCTCTACACATAATTGAAACACAACCGGACGTGTAACTTGAGTGTACAAGAGACGAATCTCTCTGTGGAAATGGTGAGTGCGATCATTCATGAGCACTTGTAGTTTCGAAAGGTCACCGCACGGTGACACAGAAACAACTGCCCGCACGAGTTCACGCTGCACATTTCATCACATGGGCTTGACAAGCATAGTACCCGGGAGAGCGGTATTTTGGCGTCGCAGAAGGAGTAAAGCAGGTTCTCCCAGAGTGTTCCTAGCAGTGCAGAAATCCAAAGGATAAATGTATGAAAGCAGCGAGAAAATAAGTGGATTTACCATTCCTTGAAATGTGTTCCTCACAGTATTGCATAAGTCAACCCACTGTGGTAACATTTTAGAATAAATTTCCTCACGAGCAAAAATGTCGCTTTTCAGCCTTCCATAGCTAGCTTGCCTCGAAATCCACTAGAGCCGCCCAAATTTATACGGCTCTTTGCTTCACTTCATTGCTCCAGATTCACTTATTCAAAAACTTTTGATTATCATTCCTATTAGTTAGTTCGGAGTGGTGTCAACTCGCAAGCCTATGATACCATGGAATTTTATGTCCAAAATACTTAAAACTTTCCACTTAATGCATACAGCTATTTTAAAAGCTGTACAGGCTTGAAGGTTTGAAAATACAAGCAGTTCATCTGAATCGATCTGTTGTTATGCCATAATGAAGGCAGTGAATTTGAGGATACTATTCATCCTTCAGAAAACATCTTTCTTTTTTGCCAAAATTTAATTGCATCATTTATCTCATTCGAAAAATTGATAGAGAAATCATAGTTGCTAGGCGGATTAAAAGGCTTAGAAGATTAGATGGCTTACCCATAAGAACAGTACTAAGACTAGTCGCGATGACCCCAACCGACGGATTCCATTAAGTAGGATGGAGGAGTACCGCACAGAACCGATATTACATCACAGTCGCCTGACTTGTTTTCACCTTTGGTTAATTTCATTCACTTCCATCACACTTAGCAGAGAATAGTCGACTAGAATGATTGCGAAGTTGTCGAGGCTACCATTGTAAATACCGCCGACCTTAAAATGCGCCATCTCGTTCGCATTGCGTTCTTAAGATGTGTGCTATTTGACCTCCGGAGGGCAGGAGGGCGTCGCTCCATGCGAAGCCTATTTAGTATAAGACCGAGGTATTTTTCGTTTCCAATCCACCCACACCAACCAAGTGACCTAGTTTAGTGAAATAAACCACGTGAGTGAAGGACAGAACGTTATCCTCGCCGTTGCAGCACGGTGGCACTAGAGGGTGAATGACGAGTGCTGCCTCAGTGGCGTTTGTTGCTGCACTCTTTATAGCTTCCCTCCTCCGCGAGCAGGAGACAGAGCTGGAAAACGAGCATTACAAAGTCACTCAGAAGTGAACAAAAATTAACCATCAGAAGTCTAGCGCATGGCATATTGACAGTTCGACCAACTTCCTTTGTTACAGAGCTATCAATCAGAGTAAAAATTCATGAATCTTCAATTCACTGATGCTTTTAATTCACCTAGGCCTCCAGGCTTCCGAATTGGCGCCATCACTTTTTATCAAAAAATGAGCAAATTCTAACTCCTCTTAATGTAAAGGTAATGAGGTGGAAAATAACACTATTAAGCCTTCAGTTGAAACGAAATTGCACTTTGAGTGATGTCACGAGAACTCCACCTGACCACTCCTGATTTGCGTTGATCGAAAGTCACTTGGAAATACAACTTTCAAAACGAAAGGTAACTCGAATGGAAGGAAAAAAGCCAGCTTCACTTTTGGTGGCTACTTGAAATGAGGTAATGCTAACCCGCATCAAATAGGTGCATAGAACTTATAAAAAAGTGATTAAGTACAATTGCACTATCTGTAAATCACCTTAAAGCATGAGGAAGTGCGTAGGCACGCCCGATTTGCGGGCCTTACCAGTGCCACGCGGATCACGTAACACCCACGCAAGACCCATTGCCAGCGTACTAGCCACACCATTAGGCGTGACAACTACGAGGAAACGTGTGGGTGACCACCGCCTCAAGCGGCGTATGAACCTAGGTACCAATTAAAAAGCAATCACCTGAAACACTAGTGACAGTATGACGCAAAAAGAATCCCAGTCAAGCGCCCAAGTCCTAAGCTCTCACGGACTTAGTGGTCTAACACAGTTTACCAATTGTTGTAGCCCACAGCCCATCCGAGCCGACAAACACCAAACGGGGATTCGGGCAGGCCACAGTTCGGTTCAAGCAAAGCAAGTTAGCCATTACCGAAAAACAGAGGGCATTTTTGTAACCATTTATAGAACAATCGAAACAACAAAACCAATCATCTATAGAACCAAAAGGAGGAAACTGCCAAATGAAATTGGTAGTCCAAATGGTCTAAGAACGATCAGTTTTCTTAACTTCCGACTGAGCAGAGCGGGCGGCTTGCTCCTCCTTCTCCTTCTTTTCTAGAAGCTGAATGCACTCATTAATCTGCAAAAAAAAACATTCAGATTACTAAAAACGATTGGGACAATAGGTGTAGGCCATCGGATCTTACCCTTTGGTGTAAATACTCCTCCGAGTGAATCATTCTTTCCCAATAAGTTGGACCCAAGTTAAGTAACATTCCAGTCAATTTTCCGGCATTCGTAGGATGGGTTTTTTCAATTTTAAGAAACAGTTGTTCTCCGACAATTTGCCGATAATCTAGTTGTTCTGATGTCAGGTCCAAAGAAGAGCCATCTTCAACTTCCTTTTTCTCCTCCTCCTGCTGAGTCTGCAGCTGGTGCTGCTGAGTTGGTATCGAAGATTGGGACTGTACCTGCTCGCTGACCGTTAACCGAGCCGGGGAAACCATCGCGCGTGGGGGTTGAGGTTGTGCCATTACATTTCTGGCTGTTTGATTGAATCTTACATTTGCCGCAGCTGTGGCCGCAGCTGGCGAGGCTACAGCAACGTTGGATTGGGCGATAGAACGAACCGCTTGGTTCATAGGATTTGGCTGGGAGTGAGCAATGTTTGAGTAAGGAGGATAAAAAATACGAGTTAGCTATAGACATTTAAAGGGTTAATTACACGAATGCCAGCCGTGACAGCCGCCATGGTTGGTCTGGGCACAGCTCCTGCAGCGCCGAGAATCTGCGCAGGTATACTTGGCCGCTGGGCTCCGTACTGCTGAGGTCCACTGGCACCGGCGGCAACCATACCATTAGTCGCGCCAGCACCCAAAGCTGGTAAGGCGTTCGAAATCATACTACGACCGGCGGTTTGACCACGGAATTGAGGATTAACCAAGCCGCCTTGGGCTAGTTGACCTTGTCCCATTGCAGTCATAGCTCCCGAACCACCGACATAAGGGGCTCCCACTGTTGGTCTTAAAGCAGGCGTGGCACCAATCCCTGGGTGACCCAGTTGAACTTGAGGTCCCGTTATACTACCGCGATTCCAGCGAGGCTGCGATGCTAAGGTTGCTCCAGTTTGGAAGAACCTCTGAGTTGGGTTGAACGGGGGTTGACCAAAGAAACTCGGGAGACCATGTGCTGCTGGGATGTTGGCGACATTGGGCCTGTACTGGAGTCTCTGTTGATGTTCAGCAAGAAGTTTGGCTCGTCGGTCTTCGCGACGCTGAGCAAGCGCGACATAGAGCGGTTTTGAGCCCAAGAGTGTTCCATTTAATTTTGCCGCCTCTTTCGCCTCTTCAGGTGAGGTGAAACAGACGAATCCAAAACCTTTGGAGGTACCATTTGCATCGGTCATGACTTTGGCGCTGGTAATCTTGCCAAATTTGCCGAAAGCTTCTTTCAAACGGGCATCATCAATAGAATCATCCAAGTTTTTAACATATAGATTAATACCAGCCGCGTATTTGGCAATCCGTTCATTACGCTGCTTCTCAAATTGCTGACGTAACACCTCTTGACGCTCTGCTTTTCTTTGGGCACGATTCACGTAGAGCACCTGACCATTTACCTCTTTGCCATTAAGAGTGTTAACAGCTTGTTCCGCATGATCAGGATCGTTAAAGCAGACAAAACCAAAGCCTTTGGACTTCCCCTCGTCATCACGCATTATACAGGCACTCTTAATTTCACCAAACTCGGAGAAAATCTCCTTGAAACCCTCATCAGTAAGCTCAGCGCTAAAATTTTTCACGTAGCAGTTATTAAATTTCGGTTTCCCAGTGGCGGCCTTGCGCTGACTCCGTGGTATGAAGGGCCCGACGAAAACGATACGGTCGTTTATCATTTTACCATTTACTGCCTTTATGGCCGACTCGGCACACTCTTCGTCCTCAAAATGAATAAATCCATATCCCTTTGAATTTCCAGACTCGTCAATGGCGATCTAAACTGCTGTCACATACAAATAGAATAGCAAACCTTGCACGACAAAATTTTCCCAAAGTGCGAAAACGTGTCGTACAAATCCTTTTGAGCAATGCCTTTGTCCAGATTTTTAATAAAAATGTTCCCACGGCCTGATTTACGGAGAGATGGGTCCCTGACGCACCACATAATACGGATTTGGCGACCGAGAATGTTTTCGTATATCAGACTCTCCAGCGCTCGCTCAGCTAAGGGTAATGTAAGAGATGAAGCAAAATATACCATCTTTTGGATTTTCGAAGTTAACATATCCATAGCACAGGGATGATTGACGGGCGACATCACGACACACACGGGCGCTCAGAACTTGACCTATATTGGAGAAAGTGGCATATAGCATTGATTCCGTAACCAGAGGGTGCAAATCCCCAACATAGAGCGAAGCTTGAGGGAGGTTTTGGTTTTGTGCTGCATTACCGGCCATCTTCTTTTTGGTTTTTATTAGAATTTTGCAATCTTTTTTTGGTTTTTTGTGTACCTGGAACGCCTGCAAGTGCGGTCAAATATTTTGCGAAGTGGCGGGGATTCTCACTCATGTAAACAACATCACGTTGAGCAAATTAATCAAAAAAAACAATTCTGGGTTTTTCATATGGCTGACAACAATTAAAATCCTTTTTTTGCACGTTTTTTCATAAAAGACAATTAAAAGAGTTGCGTCAAAAGACTATTGTTTATAGGAAAAACATCCAACAAAGAGGTTCTGCTTCAAAAACCTAATTGTCGTTTCTACTGCATTTGATTTATTGTTTCGGCTCATATATATGCTAAAATGTACAATAAGAGGTGCGCTAATTGGCAAGCGGTTTCTAATCATAGTCTTGCCATTTCGCTACCGTAGTCAGGATCTCAAATCATACTTGGAGGTACCAAGGTGCTCTGGAAGAATGGCTACACTCACTAAAGTGATTGCGCGGCGGATCCGTTACGGTGTTCACGCATCACAACGTTTTAATAGGGGGTCCCAAGGGGCGAAGACCCATCCTGAGGACGATGTCTATAAGTCGCAAATTTGTCTTCAGATCCCTTCATGCCCAATTAGCAATGATTCTACGGCAAATTGCTCCAAGTTTCTGGGGTCATTGCACCGTCAGAAGCCAATATAAGCGTCTTCAATCCAGTACTTTATAAGGGGAGGGGGGAGGCAGTTAAGCATTACATTAGATCATACAAAAGCGGGGTACGTTTTTTAATTCTCCTCAAGCAACACTTCCCAAGCGAGCTGAAACCCACTGTGGATGGTCAGTTTCGATGCCCTCAAGAATGCGGTTCAGCGAGGTCCACAAATTCTGCATTCGGGTATTCGCCGATGTTGTCCCACTGTCTTCTACAATACACACACGAAAGGATCAGTATGAGATACCGCTGCTGGCATTCCAATAGTGCCTTCGATTTGACTATAGTTTACCTTCCCGACGGCCTCCTTTAGCGGGTTTTTAGAAACGAAGACGGCAAGAGTGGTGAAGTATTCGAAGGGTAAAAGTAAAATAAAAGAACGCACACATGGCGCATGCATGGTTTTATCGCAAATCCACGAGTTCAATTTTAAAAGATACCTGAGTCCAACACAGACACTTTAGCAGCCAATACAAATCAAGTTCTGTGTAATTTGGCAGTAAAATCTTACTATTCCTATCTGGGAGTACTAGGGTGAAGTTTCGCACTAATTCAGCGAATGTTTACACAAAGAAAATCGTCCAAAGATCGGTTTTACCTTTCTGTCATGACACAGAAAGGCATTCTGACCAACCACACCTGAACAGTTATGCGGGTCTGCTGCTGTTGGCGGTGGTCTAGAAGCCGTCTTATTTGCTTAAAATGGAACGCATAGCATGTCTAACAAGATAAAACGTATAGAATGCCTAACGAGATAAAAACATACTCTCAAAGTATACGACTCCATCGATTTGATCTATTTGGGCGACCATTCGGTTCTCCTCGATCATCTGCGCGGCAATCGATTCAGCCTAAGAGGACAAAAAAGGCGTCAAACGAGACCTACCTGACTAGTTTCGACCTCCAGTAATTCACCAAGATTCTCCAAGGTAATGTTATTGTAGAGGTAGCTGGCGGCAAGCATGTTGTGTTCCACCACAACTCGCTCCAGAACCTCCTCTAGTTGCTGCCCTCCATCACCGAAGATGTGAGGATAGTACTGAATGAGAAGGGGACGCAAACTCCTCATATTCTCTCGGCTTATCAGACGTTGTTTATACCTACAGAGGGAAGTAGGAACAACCAACACTAGCACGGATTTGGACTTCACTCAATCGAAAACCCACATCCTTTCAAGAATAGGGAAGGCCTGGAGAGCATGACAACGCTCATCTTTGTAAAGGAAGGCCAGAAGGCGGGCCCGCTGCTGACCCGCGCCTCCCAAGATGGCGGATAGCAGTGCATGCTCAAGAAAGGCAGTTCTTTCAGCATCCGTTGAGATTTCACGGAAGCGAATCGATAATTCAATGTATCGTTGACCGGCCTCTAGAAACTTTCGCTTGGCATCCATGAGTTGTGCCTGTGCAATCTAGGAGGATGTGATCCGAAAAGCGCAAAAAATCCACCTTGAAACGCATTTTCAAGCGTTCGTCCTTGCAGTTGTTCAGTAGCTTCGAGACCGAATTGATAGCTGACTCAACATTGTCGGGTTCCTTAAGCTTGAAGAAGCCATCCACTATTCGGGAGCATATTTCCAATTTATATTCATCAGAGTAAACGCTGAGGATTATGAAAAAAAGTGAGGTTCAAACAAAATAAACTGACGAGTCAAATCAAATCATTTACCACGTATGAGAATCGATAGGTATCCCACGAAGCACCGTAACAGCTTCTCGAAGATCACCGACTTTTACGAGACGCTGAGCAAGGAGATCTCGTAAATTAGCCAACTAAAGTAGGCCATTTATAGAACGCAATGAAGCGGAATACCTGCGCTTCAAGTGCAATAACACGGGACTGCAGTCGTGAGAGCATTTGAAAGAATGCTGATATGACTAGGTGGTCGTCGGGGAAACTGTCGGTGTAATGGATCAATTCTGTACCGATTTGACGAGCTGTAATGACTGTCACTGTGCCCTGACATACTGCAATGTGTAAAAACACCGCAATTACTCAACAGTACTAGAGATCGAAAACCTGTCAATGATGAAAACATTACAATACAAGTATCGCAAAAACTCGTTCTTACTCATGCTTGCGACGTTTGAGACAGCTTCAACAAAGAGGGACGGCGATAGACCAGTCATATAATCAAGAACGCCTCGAAATCTAGAAAGAGAAAATAACAAAATGTACCATTTACTTCTCTAGGGCTTCTTCAGAATCCTTTTCAGCCAAAACCACCTCCATATCTTGGAAAAATTTGGCATCCAACGCCATCTTTGACAGGGTATGACAACGAGAAAATATTCACAAAATATGCTGTCCTTGAAGGAAGGTGGAATATAAGCAAACGAAAGAAGAAAAAACGCACAAACTCTGAGCGAAGCTCACGACCACCTAAGGCTTTCGAACCGTGACTCCTTATATAAGCGCGTTAAAATAAACGGATTAAAGCTCTCTCTAACGTTAGAATGTGAATGTGTAAAATAAAACAAATATTGGTCTCGACCATTTTGTCATTTTCTAAGTAGATTACTTCCAGAGTTATATGCTGACTGAATGTTCCCCCATCCACATCTAATCCACCAAACCACCGACAACCGCTATACAATTGTATTTAAATATTCTATAAATTCCACCTCTAAGATTATCTTTTGAAAATAGAAAAAAATACATTAAGTTGGTGGAAATATTGAACTAGTTTAAAAATTTCGTATTTAATGGTGCATTTGTGGGGCGACACAAAATGCTACCTCAGTAGCTGTGTTAGGAAAATCGTGATTGAACCGTTTATTTATTTTATGAATTTAATAAGTCAAGCGTAGCATTAAATTGCTTATTAACCTCAGATATCATCGTCATTTGCTCCTTGCTTTGTTTTGACAGGTTGGGGTCTTGTTGAGGATGGGCAATGCTACGGATAAAGTTGCACTACAAATGTGTATAGGAGTTGGCGGATTAATATTAGACGGATGGGGTTTGTATTGCCTTCATGGCGAGGGGATTAGGGCTTCTGCCATGGCTTAGATATCAGGTGGCCCGGAAGAGAATTACAACAGCGGAGCCCCTCAGTAGCCCGTCACCAGAACCGAATGGTAAACAACCAATTAGAGCCTTACGCTATCGCCCCGTCTAATGTACATCGGTGCTTTTCTTTCCATCCTTAAAAATGATAGGAACCGCTGTTTCTTTCTCCACTAGTTTTGTTCTAGGTGCCTATATGTATTGCCTTGTGAATACAGTGAAGTTACTAGATCATACTTGAGACAGACTAGAAACAAATTTTCCTTCAAATTTAATCGCGCTAAGCATTACCAAGGGTTTGTTAATTCTTGGTTACATAGTTTGGGCCCTATGGATAGAAAAATTGTAATCCTAAATAACCTTGACAAAAAGTGAATAATTTTTAAGAAGTCATCATTGAGAGCATTTCACAAATGGAGCGTGGATACTTTACAAATCAGGCTTTTCTGATTGCATTTGACTCCACGGGCTTCCAAAATACTGGCAAGATTCAGAGTGCAGTTGTGAACATAGCCTAATTCTTCTGCCATAGCCTATGAGGGATAAAATAAACGCTTTATTATAAGCGTCCATTGGAAAGAAGACTAGATTGTTGATGTTGTTATTTCAGAAGAAATTACCTGTGTCACTACAGATGTGTTAACGGATCGAATTTCCGTGTACCCACTTCTTTTAACACCATCAATGAATGCTTCCTCTAGAAGGATCAAAAGTTGGATTCTTTCTCCACCATCTGTGTTGTCGTGTCTTGCGCCAAGTAATCCAGAGGAGAAGCATTTACTAGCATCTTCCAGTTTACCAGCCTCGGTATTACAGATTTCAAAAGCCTCCTCTAAGTGGTAGTAGTTGGGATCTTCAACTCCTGGTGAGGGTGGACTGGAAGCTGGAAAGCCAATTGTCACTGCACAGATATCAGGAAGCAGGACTTCAAGTGGGCCGTCAGGATCACCTTCGGTAAACCCCGCTACGTAGGCAAGTCCTGGCATATTTTCAAATTGCTTCAATCGACCAAAAACATTTTGGCGCATTGTCTTTTTGCTCAGACCAATCATTTGTGACAGAGGATCGCGATGTACAAAGGATTCGGCAATAATTTCGGCAATTACCTCCCTACAGTAAGCATCGTGGAAAGGTTGATCAGGGAATGTTTTTCCGGGTTGATATTCGCGGATGAATAGTCGTTTCTTGAGGCCTAAATGTGGCAGCCCTTGACACAGGTGACGCTGACTCATGAGCATGTCCAAGATTTTGCCAATTTTCTTATTCGCTGCGAAGTCGTTTAGACTTACTCCAAAACCCTGCTTCCGTAATTCTGATACTATAATTGCTGCCTAAGAAGAAATACACAATGTAATGTGAAGGACTGACCAAATCTATCACTAACCTTACCTCTAAGATCTTTTGCATTCATCCACACAGGGTATTAGTTAGACCGTCAATAATGTAATTTAGGGCTTTCAATAGGTAATAAGTCTTGGATGTCCTCGTCATCGACAATTCAAGCCTTCTTCTTACCTAATGGTTATAGTTAAAAGAGTATTGATAGAGAACTTGATCAACAGTAGATTAGTATAGTTATGAAGACTCTATCTTACAGTAATTTGAATCATATGAGAAAGAAACTAACTAGCATTCGGCCATCAAACAGATCATTGGTCTGCTGATGTCATAAATTATGGATCTTTTTGAACAATTTTGTCCTCAAAAAACCGACTCCACAGAACACTTTAGCTAAGACCAGGGTGGATGGTATGGGACCTAAGCGGAAGTAGTATCCTTATCTCTAATCGCTTAAATTATCAGTAGGATCTAATTAGCGTTAGTCGTTTTAAAACAAACCAGTAAAACCTTTCATGACGTCGTACGGGTGTGCACCGTCGCGATTGAAAGCGCTCATGCAATAAACATGAATTTTTTTCGGCGGCAACGCAGTTACCTTGCCACACAGCAGTAGGATGAGGTAGATGGAGAACTAAAGCTGCCTGCATCCTCTTTGTTATTCATTACTGGCCATGTTTCAGCCTCGTAATTCAAAGACGCGTTGCTACGTATCTATAGCAAGCGAATATCTACCGCACCTAACTGGATGAAAAGATCCTGAAGACAAGCTTGTAATTTAGCAGTCAAGAATGGTTAGATGGGTTGAGATAGGTCGATCGCAAACGTACCAATATTCAAAGTATTTAAACCACCTCAACTCTCCTACTTTCCGCTCTTCTCCTCACCTAGCCGTCTGAGTCGTCTACCATATTCACGATCGTGCCAGATAACTACAACTCAACTGTTAAGCAACTACTTTTGATTTAGCATCAGTAACACCAAAACAATAGCTCCCATTACAGAGTCAAAAGTTTATCATCTAAAGTGTAGGCGCTTACACGTGATTTCAATATCTACTGCTATTTGCAAACTGAATGTTTTTTGCTCGAGCCTTGGAAACTCTTTATGAACCTTCGATGATGTAGCAGCATTTAACGTGATTTATAATTCGTGCCCCACCCAGTTGTGATCGTCTAATCTACTGTGTATGTGAAATACCAAGACAGTAAAGTTAAGGGTGAATATACCTACATATGGTGTGCTTGGTAGATGGTGTATGCTAACACTTTGTGCATAAACAATCAACACCAGTAAACATGAAATTTGGAGATGGTTGCCTCAAAATTATTCAAGATCTACCCATACGTCCATCCATCCGTCCACCTATCCACCCATAACTACCGACTACCCAGCATACCGTTATTGAATCCCCTCCAATGAGGAAGAAGTCCTTCTCGTCGCTGGGTTCTCCATCAGCCTCGGATAGACTGAGGTGCTTTGCAAACATCCTCCGAATAGCCTCACGTTGGTTGTCAGCTGCCGTTGCCATGGCCCTAATGCTATTATCGGCAGGACGCGTCACATGGTCATAGTGACCGCTCTGAAAGTCTTGTCTCAGTCTCACCTTGTCAATCTTCCCTGATTGCTTTTGAATAGGGAATGAGGGCACCTAAAAGAGAAGGAGGATAGTGGGCCAGCAGACATGTTTGAAAAGTTGGAAAGAGGATACGTGTGTAGAGTTTATCACGATAGTGATTGCACAGCATTTGGTATGATAAATATAGTTATGCTTATATGATTAAATGGATCGCTGGCAGTTTAGTAGGACCAATGTAAAAGGGTATCCAACAGATGTAAACGGCAGATAGGATGCCATTACCGGACACCGAATGGTCAATGGTACACACATATGTATCAATACAGTACATTCTAGTATGGGTTTAAAATAAATAATAGGTCTCAATAGTGTTAGGGGAAAGAGTGATAACAGACTGATTCTATTATCAAGCGATGCCAAATTTATACCATCAAAACAACATAGTTCAGTTCAAAAGTAGTCGACCGGACAACGCAATAAAGTGCTTGACAAAAACCTTTCTCTTTAAAAAGAAACTCTGCTATCTGAACTGATTCATGTGCCCTAACAGAGGTCATAAACTGTCTAAACGGAGGTTAGATTCTCATAGTACAAAAACAGAGTTTCCATACTTTGCCAGCCTTGTACCTGAGCGGTACCAGTCATGATCGTACAAATAGGTCGTGTGTTTGGTTGTTTGTCATCGCAGGGTGAGGTACAAGATTTTAATCGAATAAAACATGAAGGCAAGATATTGTCATCACAAAATATTTAGCGTTTCTAATCTGATTCACTGTTAAACGGAGATTCATATTAGTGTGGAAACAGCTGCCGAAATAGATGAGAGATATCAAAAACAAACTACTAGCATTTACCAATTATCTGCAGGCTGTGGATATCCGAAGATGGTGGAATAGGTTGTAGGTGATTCGTAAGAATAAAATAGGCTTAAAAGTCACTCACCTCCACGAAGGTGACATTAAGAAAGGCCGAATAGTGAGTTCTCACGGCCTCGGCAAGATCAGCGTTGGTGAACGCATTGTCAGTAATGTTTTCACGCTGGTAGAAGCAGGCCAGACGCGTGTCCGTCTCGCCCTTCTCCAGAGGAATGGTCAAAGTCGTACCGAGACCGGCAAATACCCCGCCCTCGCATCGGAGTCTGGTCAAGAGTTCATCAATGTTGCCAACGCAGATCTTTACGCCATTTACCTTTACCATGTCATCCACGCGTCCGGTGATGTAAAGGTAACCGTTCGTCGGACAGACGAATCCCACGTCACCAGTGCGAAAGACGCGTGAGAAACAGGACCGTGTGGACAAGGAATTGGCTATCAGAGAAGCAGTCCGTCTATAAAGGCCAGCACACAGTGGATCGAGAAGTAAGTGATTGTACCTGTCCTATTATTGCTGTGCATTTGCTCCAGCCAACCACTGGAGGAACAATACAGTGAGCTTCTTGTTTAAGTGACAGTTTTAGGCCATAAAAACATGATGCCTTCTTTTGTATTGCTTGACAAGGTGCGGTTGCTGCTGGTCTATCTGAATTTTAGTGCTTAAAATCCATTAGGGCATGGCGCATATCCAGAGCAATTGTCGCTGATGCTAATCGCGTTGACACTGGTGGTGACATCTCGTTTGATTATGAAGGTCAAATTTCAGTTCACATGCTACGAAATGATCATTTAGAATTGCGTTAAATGCCGCGAAGAATAGGCTATAGTGTTGCCTCTTTGTGAAGATGCTACCTTAATGGTTTCATTTTGAAGGAAATTTACTCATTTTACGGTAGCATGTTCAAGCATCCGCAACCAGACCTATTAATATATCGCGACTGGAGACCAACTCTACCTTCAGAATATTGAAACACTCAGTAGATTTCCACAACTGGTCCGATTTTATTCAACCTATATTATATCTCATTCCTAAAGCTCCACATAGCACCTTAGAAATTTCAAGAGAATAAACAAATTTTTGCGCTTTGGATTGCATAATGCTTTTTACAAATTCCCTGAAAACTAATATGGTAAATATTGGTTATCGTCAGAGACAAAGTGCAGAATCGATGGAATCCTGATTTTAAAAAGTTGTAAGACTTACTTCGGAGCCTGATCAGCCGTGATTGGTTCCTCCACAAGAATTGCAGCACCGGACGCTAACACCTCACCTTCTTTGCCTTTGTCTACGACGTAAATTGAACCTTCCCTACAGTTTTCACTGACCACGTATATCTCGACGTTTGGAATCGGTATTCCTACAGGCAGCACAAGACCACCAGCAGGTAACTTCACTGCTGCAGATTGAATCTCTTCTTTGCTATCAAATGCCACCGCAGTGATATCCCCAGCTACTTCCGTGCTTCCATATAGGTTCAACAACCGCAGTGGTCGATGGCCAAACACCTCAAACACTTTAGTTGCCAGAGTGAAGGTCAGTATCTGCCCACTGGACACGATAGCTCGGAGAGATCTAAATGCTTCAGACCCCCTGTCCAACTGCTTCATCCAAGACTCCAGCTGTGCGGGCACGCTGGTGATTTGGGCGATCTGAAGTCGACTGACCAAACGTCCAAGGAAGTCTACGTCGGAGACAAGTCGCTCACTCGTGACAATAGATGTTCCAGAAACAACGACAGTTTGACCACCTAGTAGAGGCCCAAACATTTCTGTGAAGGCGTCTACGAAGAGCCAGGAGGTTTTTGCAAGACGTGGGCCAGTTATTTCAGCCAAGGGTGATGTGGGACCCCACTGCCAACAAAGACGATTGGCTAGTTGACTATTTCGCAATGGAACGCCTTTTGGAATTGGTGAAGTGCTCCCAGAAGTGAAAAGTAGTAGAATTACGGGGTTTGTCATGCCCATGAAAAGTGGCACCACGCTTTTGCTACAGCTCGCTTCGGCCAGGCTGAGTAGTTTGGAAAAGGCGAACAGAGGAACTTGGCCAAGTTCAGGTCTGACGCTATCATCATCAGTGATGAAGGCTATTGGAGAAAAGGACTCAGTGATACTGGCTATTCGCTGTTCGGAGAGGTTGCTATCCATTGGAATGTAGGCCAGACACAAACGCATACACGCAAGCTAAGGCAAGAAACAATAACTTCACTGAGTATGATACCAAGCGTTTATGCATTGTTGCTTGAAAACATTTAATTTTAATTTAACAAGTGAATTAAGAGTATAGTTTCTACCCAAAGGCAGTCTCTAGCCTGCAAGAATGTGAGATTTTCATTTATTAAAGAAAATTGTTATGGCAATCTTTTTATGATGTCATAAGCATCAACCAATGCTAGGTCATGTGATTATTTACCAAGTTAATTTTTAAAGTTTTTTGGATATCCTCGATTTTGCAAACACCTCGGAGAGCAGGAAGAATCACATGCACCTCGGTGCAATCATTAATTATTAGCCAAAAGCAGACACATCATTTTGGAGATGCGTGACTGCTTATTTGTCCGTTTTATCTAAAAACAAGAGGCTTTTTATGTGATGAACTTATTAGAATAGGTGCAACAGCCATTAAAATCCAACAATAAGATTTTGACAGGTCCGTGTTTGCGATGATGCATCTCACAGTCACAATGGAGCCACCCACGCAATAAATAGTGACAAGTGACACGATAATTCAACTTCAGACAAGGTGAAGGTCAATTAGCTCCCCAGATGGTGCAAGTTTTTGACTATGACAATGTCTAAATCCTGAAATTTGATTCAAATTGGCAAAACTTGGAATCTGACGGTGAAATTACCAGCAAGAACATGTGTAATAAATAATTGTTTAAATACCAAATTTGGCAAGTGGCCACTTAGTTGCTTCACCATTTTACCTCTTCCTGGCACCTTGACCTCCGAACCACTTTAGTAGTTGGAATCCCTTCTATTTGCTGACAATGGACATTGTGTCATCTCTCATCTCCAGGAAAGTCTGGGGACGCTACACGTTATTTGATAAGATGATTTACTACTTGTATAGACAGCATGAAGTTTCAAAATTTCTCCTCTAGACCTTAATCCTTTGAACTTCATGACTGGATCTCATCATTCCATCAAGCGTACTTCTGGGTTGACAACTGTTTTCTCAGTAAATTGATGGCTTTGATAAATTGAAAGCCCATAGGAAGAGTTTTTTTTTTTGTCGAGAATGGGCAGCATGCATGCAGCACACAGCCCCTACTAAGTGTTCTGTATGCTATCCAGTAAGATGGTTCAATCAAGGGTTTCGCAAATTCCTTCCTGATAATTGATTACCATCTTGAAACTAAGCTAAGTAAAAACTTGGTGTAAAATTTAGCCTATTTAAATTGAATTGTCGGTTGTTAGCTTTTATAAAACACGAATCGCACAGGTATCCTTTGACGTATGATACCAATCCGAAGGAGGAGGAGTGATCTCTGCGCTTGCCTTTATCTGCAACTCCGGTGTCTTGATAACGGCCAAGATAGGTTTATCTTGATAACCTTATCCCCAGGACGTAATGAGTGTCGAAAATGCACAATAACCTTTGGCTAAAGACCAAAATCACCTCATTTGAGGTAAGAAATGACGTCTTTTCAAAAGCATTTTTGACATTCAGATCATCTAACCATAAATGTCCTCCCTTAACTTCATCGTCATTTGGTTGATTACCACCAGATGCGTAAATAACCTGGTGTTAGGGCGAAGCGACCATGACGTCAGCAGATTATACGCGTTTTTAAGATACAAAAACTTGAAGTTCACGCTTAATATTTATTTTAATTCAGAGAGATTGGCATTTTTACGTCAGCATACCTACTGTTTGGCTTCGTGCATTAAGATGGAAGTGCTTAAAAACTGGCGTAACCAATGACAGTGTGGCCTATGGTGAAGCGTTGCGTTTTAGTGGTGTTTCTCACGTCATGAGTGTTTTTTTTACGCCCGCCAACTATTGGCTCTTCAAAAAAGAGAGCATTACCTGGAGAAAGACACGATTGATTCCCGTAGTAATGTAGGTGGCCAGAAAAGTCCTGCTCTGCCCTTTTTCAGAAGCCAGATCCAGACTTCGTTGGTGCAAAAGCGGTACCAGCCTTTCTCGAAGTACCGATGCTAACTTGATAACTGTGGCTTGGAGGCAAGCCAACGATAGCTGTGTCACTGTTCCCACTTCATTCCCCACAGTTTGGAAGGAAATGACTGCCGTTATGGAGGCAGCATCAACCTTCATGTTGAAAACCCTGTCTCCGAGTAGCAAATTTGTCAGAAGACCATTTGAATTGTAATATTCATCACTGAGTGGTCCAGTGATTATACTGGTTTCTATACCTCAATAGAAATACACGACTGAAAAGATCTTCACAGTGTTCAGCTTCATCACCATAAAGCGAATCGCTGACCATTATACGTGAGCTAATATCGGCTGAACGTCCCTCGATAAGACTTTTTGGATAAAAACCCTTAAAGTTTAGCTCATGTAGTAGTAAACAACAAAGTGCAACCTCTATTGAATATGGTTTATTTGTTCATAGTGAAAGAAGAGGCCTTAATAGCTTATTCTTGCAGAAATATTGAGCACCGGCCTAAGGCTGTTGCTCTGTTATCTTCCTGAGTTGTCAAAAAGGGGAACAACTCATGTATTTTATTAAGTGGAAATGAAAGGGTAAGAATTCTGACAGTGGCAATATGATCAGAGTTAAGGGGATCAGAAAAATTCTCATATCATCCAGCTTATTCAAGCATATTTTGCTTTCTGAAGTTTGATCCGAAAGACCTGATTATAATATGAAACTAAAAACATCATTCGGCTGTCCAAACGAACTACTTAGTCAAGATCGTCTACTAGAGCATATTATAAAGGTTCTATTTTAACTCTCCAGGCTTATAGAGAGGCCTCACTTCTTTATGCGATTCCATAATGCAATCTTACCTCCTGTTTTAGGAGCCCCTGGAGGTGTTTTTAAGCATCAAGATATAACTGTGACCACCACTATTACCCGGAAAATACAAGAGGAAAAAGACAGACATTGAGTCTACTCTGAACGCAGTACACGGTATTGTGAGGTCACTTTAATATTGACCGCGTTGACATCTGATTATATCATCCCTGCTTCCAGCATTATAACCACCCCGCACCATTACCACCGTGTGGCTTTATTGGAAATATCTGGAAAGTGAAAACACATCTATGGAACGCAGTTTCAAGCTTCCCACTTGGACAATAATTAAATAGTTTAATTTATTAGGCTCAAACATTTCCTACTCAATTACAATGAGAAAATGATGCTGTCAAAAATACAACCACCGTAAAATTTTCGAAAATTATAGCTAACTCGGTGGATTACCTGTGCTACTACTACTCATTATGCCCAAATAATGTTGTGTGGCTGGTGAAGCGTTTAGGTGTATTAAGGCACTTACCTTTTGTCGTGTCCTGCATTGTGGAGTACCAAAACTCGATTCGGGGTGGGTTAGCCTTATATAGGCATTTGAGAGGCAGGCCGACCAATCCTGCTACATCACATGGTGCTTTACCTAAGCGAATAATAATCCACTTACCTTGGCATGCATCTCTCTCTTCGAATTTTGTACGCTGACACATTTTGTAATCCCTCACTCGATCCGGTGAGCAATTATTGACAAGGGTGACTTTGGCCTATAAGACTCCCCTTAGCCTCAAAACAGGGAGTATGCGTTGAGAAGCAGTGTTTAAAATGTATGGTCTTTTAACCGATAGAATGTTAAGTAGATACGTTACCTCCCTTCGTGTTTCATCTGCTGTATGAAGGCAAAACTGTGGATTATCTACCAAGGACGAAACTACACGGCCTCAAAGCGTAGGAACTTTTGCCTCCATGACGTCTGACACACACTATCTTAAACAATGAGTCGAGATAAATAAAATGTCAAATTTTTGACCGAGACTACCCTTTTTCGGATTTCAAACAAAAACCGGTGCTGTTATGTGATCGTAATGCAGTAAATGTTGCTTGAAACCATAATAATGCTCAAATGTATTTGCGAACACTGACCCCATGTAATGCTTAAATTCTTTTGGCACATTCTTAACTTTTATACCCTCAATGTAGTATGCGACTGTGAGGAAAGGGCATCAACAACTAGATTAAATGGCAGAATTATTTTCACTGGATCAAAGCAATCTCATTTCAAACATGGTTTAATTTGTATTAGCGTATGAAGAATTGAACTAATTAAATGGTATACTGTTATTTGTATAGTTGGAAGAATAAAAAATTACACCCCTTTAAAAATGTTTTAATGAACAAGACACTCAGCTTTATTAAGAAGCCATGATAACACAATAGTTATTCAATAAGTTGTCCAACTCAGCATTTTGATTTGGTGGGCACTGAAGACCCCGTTTTGTACTTCCTCTGGGGGGCATGGCCTCTGACCCATGCCAGTAGCCCAAAGCCCCGCTGTATGCAGGCAACACATATTCTGTCTAAGCATTACAACGTCTTTTGTCTCCAAGGTAATCTGGGGTCGCTACAGCGGAGGCAGCGAGAGGCGAATCCTATCCCAAAGGACAACTACTATGATTTCTATCACTATGCTCTAAATCCTGACGTTGTGGAAGAAGGCTATATACTACAAATGGAGAAATCTGTGACGACCTTCGGTCCTGAGTTCTGCAGGAATGATATTAACAAATGGTAGCAAATGATAATAGCCGTGGGCTATTTAAAAAGTACATTACGGAGCTGTCTATCTGTACCTATATGAAGATGTCTATGAAGTGAACACGCAATACCTCTATCACCTCTCTACTAGCTGGATAGAACCCAGATAGATATGAGTGGGCAGAACTGAAGTGAGGACAGAGTGACAAGGAGGTACAGGCACGAATCCCTACTTCCACTAAACGACTTATCACCTCTCCTCTTGTATAATGCCAGCCAACACATTTGCCTTACCCCCAATACAGCTCTCAAGCAGGACGAAACTCCAGATGTAGTGGAATTGCTGAGGGGGGTCAGTGACGTTGCAGCCAGGTATCTTCTCGGGCACACCCAAATTGGATGATGGTGCGGTTGGCTGGTGGGTGTTTTTCTTACATCACTGATTACACTGTGATGGCTGATGCGGAAGGTTGACCAAGGGAAGCACCGAAGAGAGGAGATATGTGATGCTTTGATTAACTGTTTACCTTATCGTTTAATGCTTATGTACTTTCGCTGGGCGCCACTGCCTCCGGGCCGTGGCAATAGCCCCCCCTTCTGTGCGTCGATGATACACATTCTGTCTTACTACTGTAGGTTCTTTTATCTTCAAAAATGACTCGACACGCTACAATCACGACTGAAATTGAATCTCATGTAGCAAAAAACGCTGACAGAATCATAACTTAGGTGACATCAAGGGCAAAAACAAAGTAGACATTTTGACGCTAATCGATTGCACAAGTATTCATGGTGCAATCACAGTGAATTGTTGCTGAGACCATTGGCTCTAAATTGTGATGGGAAATCTGTCTAGTGATCGCCCACCCTGTCAAAATTTAATCCGTCTACTATGTCTACAGACAGCACTTAAAAGAATCTGCTCTAGTTTATTCTATTAGCATTATTTGTGCAGACGGGCAGCAAAAATGTCCCTTATAAAGATGGTGCATTCACTGAGGCAGGGAGCATCCTACGGTAAAGGAGTACGTCAAGAAGAAATGCTCCACTTACTTTGATGCAGGGTGAAAACTTAACTAACTTTGGCATAGTGTCAACCTGGGATGGTAAACTTTTATCCTGGACAAGATATATGGATGATGAGCAATATGTGGGCGCCGTGGGAATTTGGCTTTACTGTTACATCATTGCATTCTAACTGGTTGAATGTACTTTAGTAATACAAGCTAATACAAAGAAGGGAGTATACACATCTCAACAAAACACACAAAAAAGTCCCTCTCACGTTAGTGGTCATTTCCCTGAGGTATTTCAGACAAAGAAATTCCTTCAGTATGAGATTATAGGCGGTACGTATGGACTTTTTATTGCTCCGCTTTAAGGTGTTTTCAAAGGCGTTTCGAGTGTTAGGCGGAAAAACTACAATAGTATGAGAATAAAGTTAAATTAAGCAAAAGGCAGGCTTCGACATTTACTCGAAGAAGGCTAAAAAATCCTTTTCTTGTGTCGTATTCTCTAAGACTCGAAGGGGGGATATTTGCTGTTCTTGGCACGTCTTCAACAACTCCTCTTGAGAAGGGCAAAGAGGGCACTCGTCTAGTTTGCTTCTACCAACGTGAAAGCATTGATGGCAACGTGTTCGCCAACGCTGATCCTGCCAAGGTGGCGAGAACTCACGCTTTGGCCTTTCTTAATGCCACCTTCGTGCCTTTCATTCTTGCCAAACACTCAGAACCTATGGCATCAGGTCCCAACTTTTACATCCTGAAGGTTAACGGTTAATTCTGAGAGGCTCATGAAGATACTATTTGACAGTGCATTTAATCTTGTCAATATATGTGCTTCCCGCCTTACAAAATCAAGGTCATCCGTTGCTACAAATAATCTCCTAGCCACTGTAATTTGGACTCTTTCCTGTCCTTGATGTAATTTTACAATGTCCCACAAATTTGGAGCATTTTTGTCATTTATGGGGTACTTTTAGACTGCCAAAGTAGAAAACGATTGTTTTGTTCCTAAAGGTTTGCCACTTTCATAATCGAAGACAGCTATTCCTCACCCTGTGATCGTAAACAAGATCAAAAGGAGTGGATAGGCTACGGATGAGACATAGAGATTCTACTACCTTCACGTGGTTATAGTAGGTTCTAGCTTTCAGTAAATTAAAGGAGGCAAATAGGACGGCTGTTTTTGAATATTTGGCTAAAAGTACTAAAGTTGGTATCGGGAGTTGAAGTCCAAGGTTAATTTTACAAGCAAATACTTTTAATAGCTTTCGACTGATCGTGCAGATTTGTAATAAGGGCCAAAGACGTCTATTATACAGGATAAGCCGCATACTAAGCAGTTGCTGCAAAAGTTGGCTAAACAATTGCTGTGACAGGTGTGGACTAGATGATAAAAAATCTACAGATGTCATTTCCTTTAAGCAATAAAGTTATTTTCAAATTAACCTTATCCTCCGTATACCCTTAGTAATGCAAAATTTCTAGCATATACATTGGCATGAATTTTGTACGAATTCTATTTTATTTGTTACTTTGTTTAATGCTACTCCCCCAAAATTGTACATTTTGCTATCAACACATCACAAAACAAGTACAGTTTAGTTGAAATTGTGATATTTATGCTTAAAAGTACATAAAGGGGTATTGGCGCGATTCGCTATTTTGTATTACTCTATTTCACTACCTTGGCACTTCAGTCGCCACAGGCCGTACCCGCGAACTGCACCATAATCAACAAGCCATACTAGTGGCCTCTAGTTCTTCTCCACCTTAGCAGCATTTGTTTTCTTATATCACTTTGACTTTTGATGGAGCTGGGGAGGACTCGGGTCGCTCCATTTATTAAAATGAGAGTGGCATTACCTAATTACTAGAGGCAGTGGCAAAATCCAGTTTAATCTACTTGACAATATTAGAAATTTAAAACTAATAAGAGCACAAAGGTCTGATCTGACTTATTAAAATACATAAACTGTCATGAACCACCATGTTCCTGACATTGTTGCTACCATTTTAGTGCTTTAAGATCAACCAAAGCTTGTGCCCTAAAAAAATTTAACAAAGCAGTAATAAAAAGAACCATTTCGCACCTAAATTAGCGAAAATGCTACTTATTTCGAGACTGATTGCTGTAATTTATGCGACCTTGGCGTCAAAGGTGCCTGAGTTCCAGTTCAGCCTGAATGGCCAGGGCCAAGGTACGGCTGTGCTTTGTCTCGGGGTAGGTTGGTGCCCAGTATCGCACTAAAATCCTGGTTTTGGGTCAAATCAACACTTTTATCTTCTTGTTTGCTGAATTCTCTACTTAAATGAGAAAATACAGTTTTTTACGGGGTCGTCATTTTCTTGAGTGGGACCGAAAATGAAAGTTTGCCGTTTCACATAGAATATTTTGATTAATCTTATCAGAATATAAACGGATTAGTTTATTTCTACCTCAAAAACTGCAGGCAATGCTGAGTTGTGATTTGTGTATTATTTTCAGCTGGCATTTCCTGCAACTAGTCCTTTGCCGGCCAAGTTTTTTCGCCACGTCGACAAATTTGCCCTTTTCTTTTTTGTGGAGTTTATTGCTCTCTTTTTCGACCATTATATAATATCGTAAATAGCTGAAAATACTGTAGAAATGGGGTGTGGTTATATGTTTCATGATCTATTGGAAACACCAAAAGCCTGTTTAATTACGTTGGTTACTACTTTCATCCTTTCATAATTATTTTAGTCGTTTTGCAGTGTTCTCTTTTAGAACCCCTTGAAAATGCTTCCGCATGCCTATATTTTGAACGCTAAAGCGGATAACATTGCAAATTTTGTCTACGATGGTATGCGCCAATTCGCAGCATAATTTTTCAGAACTTACAAAGACAAGTACAATTAGGGACTGCATGTACATAAACTGTAAATATTATACGGCTTCAGTGCAGTTGAAGCTGGTCTGCGGCTCATATCCCAAACCAAATGTTAGAACCGCCGAGGCTCTAGTTATCTGTTTTGATACGGAAAATGTAAGTATTATTGTTCTTTCTAGATGGATCTAAAATCCTGTATCCAATATCCATGAACTTATTTCACTACTTCAGTGATTCAGACCCACGTATTCGGTGTTTTATTACTAGCGTACTTACATTTTCGTTTAGCCAGAAAGCTGGTCAGTTGCTTGTGACTGGCTGAAGTCGAGGGAAGGGGAGGAGGATATTCCAGTCCAACTTCTCGTGTGCGACTCTTTATCTAACAAAAATCTTCGCATGGAGGTCTTTGCGGAGGCCACCAAGAATCACTTCGAGATTGTCCAACTTTCTCCCCCCTCTGATGAAATTGAAGAAGGTTTGCCTTTTTCTTAAAACCTTAAGAACCCAGATGAGGAGTATGGAGTAGCTAGAATCATAGCAGCTCTAATCGCTCATCAATGGTCTAATCTTGTTCTCAAAAGTGAGTGTAAGTAGTAAGCTTTCTGATAAATGTGTTCTTGCTTGTAACGTATAAGTAACAATTTTTTCAGATAGGAAAACGGTCACTGGTGAATCCGTTGCTAGAAATCATTCCCAGCAGAAGTCAAATGCAGTTGCTCCAGTGGAAAAAAGTGTAAACCAAAAGGGTGATTCCGATGAAGGTGAAGGAGATGACGATTCTGATGGTGAAGTGTTTAACGAGCTCTTCCCTAAGCTCATGGAAATGCGATGCAAAGGCGCTAGTATGGATCTCGAAGGTCGTCGGAAAATGGCTGAAAAAGTGAGAATCTTAAAGTTTTTTCCTAAGAATTTTTTCCTTTGTCTTTTTGAGATCTTACTAATAAGTGAAATATTTCTATATGTGCACATTTTTATGTTATTCGTTATTTTGAACTTGAAATTCAGCTATCGGTAGGGCTGTAAATCACAAATTTTCAATTTGCACTGTACTGTATTTAATGTCCTCATAAAGAATATCTAACTGAAGATTTACTTTTAAAATTTCAAATACTGAAATCCCATTCCACTATTCCATGCCTTGCACGATGAATTGAGTCATTATACAGATTATATCATAGATCTACACAAAAGCGTTCTTTCTGTAAGACCGTCCAGTGTTTCAAATTTTGCTGGCCCTTTGATCTCGTCTAATCACAGTTTTCTAATACAGTTTTTTCCACGTATTTTGGGATTGCCAAACATGGAATATGTGTACGACATTACGATGTAAAAATACTTCGTATTTACGACATGCATGGAAAGCAGTCAAACTTCTTGATAATTTCTCGTCCAATCCCCATTCGCTTAGGATGTAGAAAACCCTTATTTTCCTCCACGCGTCTTAGCTTAGTAATAATGCATCTTAGTTTCACAATCCATAAAGCTGTCGGATAATTTTCCTCGTATTTGAGCTGAGAATCGAGCAAATCCTATTATAATAGCAATGCAATTAATCCGAGTAATTAAGATGTTTCATGCTTAGCGATCCAATTTTGACGGCACGTTCTGGAAGTCTTATTCTAAGTAGCGTATGGGAAACAGTAAACCTGTGCTACACCTGCCTAGTATCTCGTGGTTTCATCCTCGAATTTTCTTTTGTTTGCCCTGGAAGAAAGCTCCTCCAATCAACTTATTAGAGACACCTGACCTTTAAAGATTACAGCCCATCTGCGCACCGGCAGGTTACTTGGCCTCTCTTCCCCCACCCCCATCCCCATTGTGGTCATTTATTCCAAATGCTCTTTCGTGGACTAATCTCTCGCTTTCTTTTCTCCATCTTATTAGCCACCTCTCTGTAGGAAGCAGTGCACTTTCTCGGTAATAATTAAGTCTTACTTCCATTCTTGAAACTTGCCGTAGGAAAGTGGGAGTAGTGCCCAAAATTCATGCTGTTGCTTGTGTGACTAATGCCTTGACTAAAAAAATACCCAAGGGCTTTATACGTAAAAAAGTAAGGAATTGATACGTAATAACAGGAGTTAGGTGTCTTTGAAGATCACCTTTTGAGTATCACCGTTTTTAATCGATCGAGTTTCCCTAGAAAGCGTCAGTAGATGCACCGTTCAGGATAAAGTACTGTCACAAATGAAAGTATGGATTGGGTGCTGTTAACGGAAATGATGTAACTGGAACTTCAGGATAGATGCTTGGAGATTAAAACCAGGGGTAATGAGGATCCTGCGTAATCAAGTGTGCAGTTAAGACAACGATCATTCTGTGACAACTTTGTTGGAGGGATACGAGGCAACATTGGACTTCGTCGTCCATCGGAACATTTTTTTAGCCTAGCCTTTACTGCTTTGTCATTCCAACGAAGCTGTTTTGAATATCCTCTGCATCTTTGAAGGCCGCTTGCTGTCAGGTATATTTGCATCACTGGAAAAGAGTAAAACGCGCTGTATTGCACTTCCTGTGAACTTGATCTTTTGATAAATTACACAAAACTGGCTAAATCCTAATTTTTACTGCCTTGTAATTTTGACGCAGTTTGTGTGAACATTGTGTAACTTTGTATGAAAGAAAGGGAAAGAGTAACACACCGCCTTTTGTGCTGACTAAAACTGGAAAATTCCACATTGGATTGATGAGGAGTAGAAAAATTACGGGGCTTGTAAGTTATTCTGGCTAAAACCAATCCTAAATTCAACTAGTTATTTCGTGAAACTTTTTTTTGTTTCCTGAGGTTGACAGATTGGTACACAAAATCCCATGGCGGTAACCAAGTCGGGAAAAGAGTCCCTTCTAATCTCGATTAATGAGTAGCTTCGATGGCAACTTTTTTGGTGCTTTATTCACTTCAGTGCCCATGGCGCGATACCGCTTATTGATAAACGGGAGGATTTTCCTCATTGTCTTTTTTGCGCCACGAGTAGAAGGTCCTCAAAAATAAGCATCCCTTTCAGAAGTGGCTTAAAAAGTGGTCCAAACTTTTATTCACAAGATGCTGATGTTTGGTATCTTTTGATTGTGCAGTTGAAACATCCCATTTCTTTTATTTTTCGATCAAGGAGATGACATACGGTAGGACTTAAGTAGATGGTCTAAAGTTAGTAGCACTGACGCTTGAGAAACCCTTAGGTATCGATGTCATCGATGACTTTTGAATGGTCAAACCTTGGACTATTCAAATAAAATTTTTATGAATACTACTTTTTTTTCCGAATTACATACTAGGTTAGAACGATAATTCTTAAGGAATGTTCCTATTCTCCTCTAATGGCGCCCTTGTAGCTGGGATGAGGAGCTGTAAAAGGTTAGTGTCCAGGCTATCACTTGCCCAGTTAAGTAATCCCACCCCCTTCTTCATTTCCTGCTTTTCCATGTAGCACTTTGTTGCGCAATGAAATATGGTTAAATCCGCCTTGAAACACTCATACACACCCACAAGCACACACATGTTCCTGCCCTCCTCGGAGACTTATCATGTTCCTATCGCTGCGTGTATTGCGTTCTCCACACTGAATCTTTGTTTGAAAGACATATAGCGATTTTAATACAACTTGGCAATGGTGTTTACAAGTCATTGTACTGAAGCTGCAGACCTAAATATCCGTCTTGGACTCAACCAGTTCTGTTTCCATGATGTCCACTGTTGCAGCCTGATTCTCTGTGGGTTCTTTTGTGTTCGTAAAGGTATTTTTTACTTCTCCAGTATGAAATCCGTCGCTGAATTAATACATCAGCGTAGGTGACTCGAAACATTAACGAAGTTTTACTCTGGAGAGGTTTATGTCCGTACTAATAGACGCTGCCGTGACTTGGAATGTTCCATTCACTATTGAGCACTTAAGTTGGTTCGAAGCTTTTAAGGCGTTAGGACATTATGAAACATAGAGGATACGATCAAAGCCATGCATGGCGGGTATTATACATTAAGTCGTTTACCAGTATCTGCATTCAAAACAAAACCACGCAATAAGCGAATTAAAAACCCAGTGGATTATCTAAATTGGAGCTTGCCAGGCCAAGTTGTTGCACACCCCATCTTAATGTAGTCTTTTTTCTGTCACAAAAAATGCCCCTCTTTGCTGATGCTACTGCTGCTTCTGAATTCGGTGTCCGCATATATACGCACAGTGGATAGCCTCCGCGATCGCGATAACGCAGTAACAGTAACACAAACAGGCAGACATAATCTATGGCCGCCGGCATTTTCTTACGCAAGAAGAGAGGGACGAGAGTGGAAAAGAGAGGCGAATATCCACAACGCGACAACCTCTTCCCCTAAACAGTTCTGTGGGGTAAAGCCTCTCCTTTCATTTCCTTTCTAGATGACCGTGAGATTTTGGAGAGCTCTGAAGTTGGACGAAGAGGAAATTCAGGGATTGTTGGATGACGGAGAGGACTGAGGAAAGGCAAAAAATGCTGTGATTTTCTTTATTAAGTCAATATATTTAGGGGGGGGGCATTTTTGATGAGCAGGTTCTTAGGTCTTTTGAAGTTTTACGATATTTGGTTTTAAAAGTTGGAGAGGGATTGCTACCGCCTTCAAATAGAAGCTGTCAAAGGGATTCCCGATCCCTGCTGATGTTGACAATTCATTGTAAAATAATAATCGCCTCCGTAAACAGAGTTTTGTGTAGATAAATTAAATATCTTGATAATTTTGAGTAAAAATGGTTGAAGAAGTCAAGCGATTATTGTTGTTTCTGCATTTAGTGTGGTTGATTTGAAAATAATGCTTGAACGTCACATGTGTCTTGTAATCACTAAAGTTTTCTCTTTTTGTTGAAGTACATTTTATTTTCCTAGAATTCATACAAATTCCAACTGGTTCAAAATTTTTCGACAACGCTTCCTTCAAACATTTGCTAGCGTGTTTTGCTTCTATCTAACTATCGTTGGGGTTTGTTGCTGAGCTTTTAGAGAAAACGGAAGATCCAAAGCATTGCGAAGGCAGGAGCAATCAAGGGGATGTTTGCTACTCAAAGTTGCATAAATGGAAGCGGAAGTGGGACATGTTATACAAATCGTCGTTGGACATTGATTAAAGAAGTACCGACACATTAAGAACTAAAGTGGTGTCATTGAGAATACAAAGCTTAGCATTTTGAGAGAGAAGGATAGATAATGCAGGAGAGGGGATAAAGTAGGACGGATAACATTTGGATCTTGGATGTCGGCTTCGCGTTCATTAAATCTTCCCTGACAGCCCTTGGTCTATAATGGAGCTAGCAATGGATGGATTGAAATCGACTGGGCCAAGATGTTCTGCTCGAGTATTCTGGTTTTATAGATGGAAATTCCATGCAAACCTACTCTTTTTCCAAAGTATTTTCCAATATTCGAGAGGATCCCTTCTAAAGCAGTTAGGTGGATCAACACTTTTTAAATTTAATCATACCAGACTGAATGAGCGTGAAAACAATGATTTGGACGATTCTTATCGAAAGTTAATTGAATGGATATGGCGATTGCTAAATTCGAGGCGAACTCTTACGGCATTTGGACAGATTTTATAGAATCTACCACCTGGACAGGTGGAACGAGGTATAACTCAGTTACTAAGCCTTGTCACCGTTAACATTGCTGATGTCTGAACTTTTCTGGCATTTTCACTGACCCACTACTATGTATCAATGCCCCCAAATGAGGTTATTTTGGGGTCGCGTAATAGTAGCAGACCCAAAATATTGATAGCAGTCTTAGTTAAAACGTTATGATGGGCGTTAATGACTTTTTGGCTAACCCAAAATTTGCCCATTTGAGGAGGCTTTTCCCAAGGGCTGGAAATTTGTTGAGCCAGTGAATGGAGATGTCCCTTTACGAAGTACGTTGACATTGAAAGGGCGTAAATGGGAAACACGAATTTGGCAACATGAAACTACAAAAAAGTGCTTTACCTTGATAAGGAGGTTGACATTTCTCAAACGGATCATTTGCCTGCACAAGTGTGTAATTTCCCATTTTAATTTGAGTTCAAGCTATTCCCGAGAATGTTTCAATCCCTTTGAAAGGAGTATTATTTGGTAGAATAAGACTTATTTTGATTAGAAAAAAAATCAGAGGAAATGGAAATGGTAATCCTTTCATACAGTTGAATCGCCCCTACTTTTACCTATGAATATGTTCAAGCGGGCTTATGGAGATCAGTGTATAAAACCGAAGTGCGATAGAAAGAACTTTTGACAAAGTAATCCAGCTATGGAAACAAAATTAAACAGGTTACTAATTAGCAGAAATCGGGGAAAAAAGAGGAAACACAATTTGATAAACGGATTAGTCAGGGAGGCAAGCCAAATCCCTAATAAAATTACTTGGACTCAGCGCTGTACGAAATAATTACAAGCAATCCCAAAGCCACTTACAATTTAAGCAGAAGCTAGCGATCAGAGTGCGTATAATCGGGAGCAGCGGCAGGTGCGTTCGTTGTGTCAAAGGATAACTATTTATTATTTAAGATCAAAAAGTGGATGAAGAAAAACCACGGCAACTAATGTATCCGGAGACCGACCTCCGTAAACAATTTGTGCGATCCTAATCCTGTAGCATTTCTTTGAGGCTACTTAATGCAAGCTTAGGATTCACCTTTTGGCGGTACTACCACCCAACTCAGACTGGGACTCATCCTTGAAGTAGTTGACAAAAAACTCAAATGGCCTTTCTGATCATAGCGCAAAATATGTCATGCAATCGAGTAACGCCAAAGCCTAAATAATACCATTGTGTTGTACCGACTAGGTATCCTACTCGCTAAGTGCTTCACACCTACTTCACCGACTTGCCGTGTTGCCCCAACAGTTCAAAGTAGTCGGGATTGGAAGCAGTTAGGGGTGGAAAAAACTTTCAAATTTTATTCAGCTATGCTAATCGGTAGCTGGAATCCAAAAAGGCACCTGAAATAGGAGTTTTCCTACGTCCATAGCTATAAAGCACTTCCCGTAATTTGCTGTGATGTTCGAAAAAGGAGTTCGTTTGTCTTTTCAATGTTAAGATGGTAAAGCAAAAGTGCCACATTCCGTGCTTAATGCTAGGGCTATTTTAACTTGGAATTTGTGTTACGGACGGGCTACCTTCGAAGACTTGGTCCAGTATAAGAGGGCAAAATTATCAGGGCTAAAAACTCAGTATAACACGCGGCTTGAGCAGGTCGCTGTGTTACCCTCACGAAGACCCTTTGGTAAAGGATTGGTGAGACTCATGTAGCACTATCATCAAAATAAAACACCTAAGTGCCAGGATAAAAACGATTGCAGTGGTCTGACCACAACCTGCTTGGGCTGCTCGGAAATGCTCGCCATAAAAAAACAGAAGCTTAAGTCCAAACGGACTCCACCTTGAATACGTAAGCAGGGAGAATTTGATTAGCACAGTGGTCTTTAATGAACCGAAGGCTGTAAGGAGTCGCTGAAGTCATGCAATGCACTCGTCGAATCCTAATGCGTGGGACGTCTGCAATGCCTGAAAGGTAAACTTTGCTACTTGAATAAACATATTCACTGCACTTTAGGTCTCCACATAAAAAAATCACGAATTTTAAGTTTTTTTTCCTTAGAAAAGTTCCACTTCTAAATAAAATATATTTGTTTCTAAATGCAGTAACCACGTTATGAAATCGCTTTTTTAAAGTCCCAAGCCACAGTGCTCCATTCTCACCACTTTAACGACCTAAAGCCTATATGCGAGCGTGATGTGCCAAACAATGATTTGCTGAATAGCTTGTATGTCCCACCGGGCGAAAATAAATACCCTCTAGACGAGCCAATCCATTGCGAGCAGTAGCAGCTGACCACCCGGACGGCCATTGGCCAGTTGCCCATTGGCTACTTTATCGAATTCAGAGGCTTGTGCGTGCATGGGCACACGTTAACGTGTTGTTGTGTAGTGTGTTGTGTTGGAATCGGGTGGGTGAGTTTATGTGAGTGCTGCACCACAGCGGAGTAGATCAACTACTTTTCCCCTCCCTACTCTACCTACCAAATCGAGCTTAACCTTGTGCCACACAGGAAATTGTAGCAGCTTCAGTGGACTTACCCAACTTCCTTCCTTTTCCATTGTCTCTGTTCTGGGGTAAGTTTTTTGTTATTTTTTTCAAAAAGCATCGATAAATTCGGCTTTATGCTTATGCATGGCTGGATGGTGGGCAGTAGCTCTCATAAACAAAGTATAACGAGGGGGTTGGGGAAATTTTACACTTTTGGAGGCAGAGTGGTAAACCTTCCTCATATTTGAAGAAGCACTACTTCTTTTGTCTATTGGCCATATTTTACGCAGTTTTAGTAAGGAAATCTTTCTGGGTAAAAAGTGAATCATGTAGCGGCAAAACAGTTTTTATTACCATTCTGGTATCAGAATCTCAGAGGCAAATGGCTCATATCGATCCCGATGTTTTGTTGTTCTAGTTGAGTTATGCTGCAGCTTGAAAAGCAGCGAATATCTTGTTATCCTAGAATCATGAACCCTTTACAAATACTTGAGCGCTTTAAACTTAAGGACTGAGTCTATGACATAGGTGGATGCATTTACATGGCATAAAGTGACAAAAAATGCGTGCCAACACGCTTGAAATTATTTGATGATAGCGGACTCCATTTAAAACATTTATTTTGTGCTAAAAAATTATGTGCAGATAACCTGGCAATGGTGACACCCTTCGTGATTATTACTGCCTCAAATTGATACGATATTTTGTGTTGCAATAAATTTCTTCCAAATTGTACGAGAAAGAAAATACCCTTACTTGCTCACCTGATGATTGGCATGTCTATGACCTCCAAGATGGTCAATAGATCCCAGATCCAATAACCCTCATTAAATACATTTCGACCCAAGTTCCTGATTGTTAATGAAAATAGATGCATTTTAAGAGATGATTACCAAAACGATTTTGGCAACTGATTTTGAAAATACGCCATGACCTTATTATTTCAGCTCAAAAAAATAACAAACTAAATGGATACATCATGCTATTCTACTAACGCAGGGCCACACTAGTAATAACGAAACAGTTTACTGTTCGGCCATTATATTACTTACTTAAAAGATCTTTGCTTGTACAATCAGTAATTTACGGGTGAAGCAAATGTGTAATTTAGTGGAGGGAGGTCTGAGAAAAGGACTTTGTTACTAACATACTAGGATATAGACATCTGTACTTAAAAAAATACCACTTTTGCCCTACCCCAAGAAGACGACGTTTTAAGAATCTAAACAGGCGATTAGAAAACGGAACTAGATAAGCTACAATCCCACCCACCTAGCCATCTTGCCCACGCATACATCAGCGCTATCAATAGGTATATCTTTATTATTCCTTCCGTGTCGTAGACCAAATGCTTTCCGGTTCTAGGAGGCAGATTTCTTGGTACTCCTGTCTAAGCACAGCGGGTGTCTGCGTCCATTGTGTTTTGGTGACATTGTTTTGTGTATTAGATAAGCAAGGAAAGAAAGTGCATGACAATACAGTTTTACTGTTAGGTCAAAATACAATTTGAAGGTCTGGTCATCATTGAAACCCTCATTAATGCGTCCCTGATAAATTAAGTATTCATAAAGTAGCATTTGTCAGCCAAGAATGTGAATTTCATAAATTGGTTTTGTTGTTGAATTTTAAATTCTTCTTTCAGTAGATAACTCTCCCCTCATCAGTCGCTCCTTCGGTGATTTGTTGCCTTTCAATCGCATTCAGTGAGTCTTCTGTTTACCTGTTCAGTTTTTTTCAGTAGCTTATCAAACAGTGCAACTTTTTTTTCCTTTTTGAGCCAATAAACCTTATAAATTTATAGGTAGAGATCTTCAGCAATGGCTAAGAGAAGTGACACAGTTCCAGTCAGAATTGTAAGCCTCGCATAAAAAAGGCAACATTTTTGTAGACCAATAGAATGAAGTTGGTGCAACTCCATATTGAAAAAAGCTCCACACATGAAATCTCATACCACAGCCCTACGCAAATACCTCCATTGTGGGCTAAAATTTACAAAGCACAAAAATACCAACCCCATAAACTGCGCATTTTTTATCCAATGTGAAATAATACTACAGAAACAACGGAATCTTGGTTAATTCGAGACAGCCACAAGATAAATGAATTCACATTCGGCCAGAGATCAAATAAATTTTTTAGATAAATTTAATCTCCCAATATACGCCTTATTGCCGTCTAGAAATGATCAGAGCAGTAGCATTGGCGATTTTGGTAACTACGACGATACAGGAGGTACATGATCGCGGATGCCTAGTTCCGCTAAGTGGTTGTGTTGACGATTGCAACCCATATGTCGGGTGTTTGGGGTGGTTCTACCAATGCTTGTCTAGTGTATAATCATGTAATTAATGGGGCAACATTGGCCAAACAAAACATGACTGGTCGGGATAAAAAACGCCCTAATTTCGCTCACACTTGCTGCGCCAAAGCTCAAAAAGCCTTCTCCTTCTGCTTTCACTTTGTGATTTTTCCTCCTGACAGCCTGCGAAAAGTTACGTCGGAAACATTTAAAGCTTGTTTTAAAAGCCGTTAAAATGATTTATTTTCAGAGTATTTCAGGAAACAGACTTAGTAAAATACACTTTTGTTTGATTTCTTTCGGTGGAATAAACAGCCTGCATGACTTCTCGGTATTCACCTTTGTCCTGATGCAACCGAGACTCTTAAATTTAGAACTTAAAGTGGGAGTAAAATATGTAAAATTTGCAAGTGCTACCGGGAATTGAGTTTTAAAAGCACCTTCTTCCTCTGGTGATTAAATGTTCTCATAATTAAGTGACAAAATATTCTTTTGTCACTCGCATGACCATTTCCCCGAAGCAAATGAACAATGCCAGTGTTTTCTATTTAGTTAGAAGTGCAGGGTGAAGACTTAAGAACCCGCGAAACCAAAAAAAGTATTAAAAGAGTAACCTATTTGTTGCAGTTCCATTTTACAGATGCAAAGAAATTACCAAAACT